TTCCATATTAATTCGGTTGTAGCACGATGTTCTTAAGCCTAAAGATTTAAATAGACTTTTAAATGCAAAGATTTTGAGTACATATTGAAGTCTTCTATAAAACTGTAGTCCATTGCTTTATTGCCAGTAGATTCCGCAGCATATAGGAATCTTTATAGGTCTTTTTCACACCTTACACTATTGTAATTTCATACACTAATTTTTTTGAAATTCATAGCCTATATTCATCATCATCATTCTAATGGTGATAGGATTTTTCAATGTTTTGAAGTCTTAATACAATCAAATCTTTCCTCTTCATAAATCATAATATTATGTTTTATGATTAACGGTATAGGTATATTGTACATACTATAATATAATATACTTATGGATTGGCTTGAGACAAAGTCAGTAAGTGACCGGCGTGACCAACTAACGCCAAAGGAGTTTGTATGGAAGTGGTCACGTGACTAAGCGGTTGCTAACGTCATACTCGCTCAAATTTCATTGGCCGCGCGACGGCAAACAATTGATATAATATTTTGTGTCTAAGGATTATTAAATTTCTTACACAATACTTATCATTCACATCTAAAAATATGCTATGTGACAGAACTATTGTGTTATTAAGTATTATCTGTGTAAAACATAGGTTTAGTAGTAAGTATTTAAAAAAAAGGGTGCGTGTACTTATTTACGCGCGTAAGAAGTTATATTTCCTTGGCCTTATTAAAAATAGTTTTTGATTGCATGCAAATAATTAATTACAATTAAATAATCAAAGACTGGAAAAGGAGTCATTATAGTCAATAAAGTTCAGTTTAGATTTGAAAAATTAAATATATAAATATTTAATATTATTCTCTTACAATAAGTATAACATAAATTCTATTATTATTCGAATGTTGTTTTTAAATTATGTCCAATGCCGTAGCATCTTCCGTGGGCAACTTCATTCTGTTAATTTTGTGTCACGTTGCGCGCGCATCGTAAAATTACACTCTCATCAATTTTTCATAACGCGCCAAAAGAAGTATAACTTGAATTATATGTCAACGTCTGTCTAGTGTTTCCCAACGTGACGCCCACGCCCCACAAGAGGACAATAATATTGTTTAGGGGGGCAATCGAAATCTGGTGGATATCACACAACGTGGAAACTTGACACTGAAGGTAATCAAATTGGAACCTGATATAAAACCTCTGTGCAGCAAGGGTCTCACTAAATTAATGTAGAAAAATAAAATCTTTATTAAAATTATTTGGAATTTAAAATCCGGTTTATCATTATGTTTTTGAAATTTACTTATTGTTTAATTAACAATTCCCTAGTGATTTCTTTATAAAACCTTAAATCTTAAGTGAACAATTAAATTTTTTAATATATAAATTATGTATGTTACATAGGGGGCATACAATTTTTAGTTAGGCTAAGTTGGGGCATGATACAAAAAAGTTTGGGAAACACTGGTCGAAACAAAACACAATCGAAAAACACTCAGCATTTTTATTTATATAACAGTTAAATCACAAGTAATAGATTAAAATATTAACAAAACTACTATGTTTAATTAAATAATAAAAGACGAGAGCATTACTCAAAGAGCAGTGAACTTGATAAAGTGTTGACATTAAGATTACAAATTGCCCTTACAAATCACTTTAAATTAACACTTGAAGGAAAACATCGTGAGAATTAGATATGCACGGGCACAGAAGACCGATCTACTTGCTTGTAGCGCTGGACATCGTCAAACGAATAAAAAAAAAGGGTGCTTGTACTTATGTACGCGCGTAAGAAGTTATACTTCTTTGGCATTATTAAAAATAGATTTTGATTGCATGTAAATAATTAATGACAATTAAATAATCAAAGACTGAAAAAGGAATCATTATAGTCAATAAAGTTCAGTTTACATTTGAAAAATTAAATAAATAAATATTTATTATTATTCTCTTACATTAAGTGTAACATAAATTCTATTATTATTCGAATGATGTTTTTAAATTATGTCCAATGCCGTAGCATCTTACGTGGGCAACTTCATTCTGTTAATTTTGTGTCACAGTGCGCGCGCATCGTAAAATTTCACTCTCATAAATTTTTCATAACGCGCCTAAAGAAGTATAACTTCAATAAAAATAAGTCAGTGGCACTACAACATTTTTAGGTCTGGGTCTCAGATTTCAAGTTCCTCTTTGCCTGACACACGCCGACTTTTTGGGTATGAGGCAAGTATTCCTCACGATGTTTTCCTTCGTACGTTAAATGCGCACATAGACAGAAAGTCCATGCACAGCCGGGGATCGAATCTACGACCTCAGGGATAAGAGTCGCACGCTGAAGCCACTAGGCCAACACTGCTTAGTGCTTATGCTATCCTATAGACTGTAATTTTTCTCTCAATAAAAATCTTTCAATAAATAAAACTCGAATTTGTCCAGCCGTCTTCGGGTTGAGTTTATCAACATATTTTGCGATTAATTTTTAATATATATTGCTATTAAGTAGTTACTTGACAAGTTCAAATCCCTTTCAGATTTATTAGCGACTATAGAACCTATACAAATTGTTGTCTGTAAGCATTTGCTATGCAAATTCAATTAAACATAAATTCAAGAACACTCACGTCGCTCCGTCAAGTTTTCTAGTTTTAATTATTATTCTTAAATTACACATACTTCGATCTACAGTATCCGATGAAATTAAACTCCAAGTCAGTATTAAACAGGCGAAGATATATTTGGTACGCTGACTCATAAAAATCAGTTTAATTATGAATTTATCGATAAATTAATTATTATTTACACCTTAATTTTACTGCTTTAAAGCCATGTTCTATACATAGACTTAATAACACTTTATTTTTTATGTCAAATAGCCCACAGATTCCAGATAAATAAAAAAGGACTTTTAAATTAGAATTAGAGGGACTTTATGGTTATGTCTCATAAATGAATATTTGCTTCCGTTTTATAGATTTTTGCGAACTCTCCAATAATAATCGTTAAGTATATTTAATTCAATCAACATAAAAACATAATGAATTATATATTAAAACATTCCTCATGAATCACACTATAATCTGTGATAAGCTGTACTAAAATCCGTTTGTAGTTTTTGAGTTATATTATAATATGTAAGGATTATACAATGAGTTTTGTATATCTTTTGATAGTTTTATCGTTGTATTTACAAATATTTTAAGCAAATGAAAAAAATCTGTGGCTGACTGTACTTCTTTACTCCAAAGGGAACAAAATCAAAGTTGGAGGCAAGACTCTTATATTTTTGCGCTTTGCTAACCATGTCGGGGAGTGTGGGCCTTTTTTTTGAATGGAATCTCGCTGTTGGCCTTAAGGGCCTTTACAGCTCAGCTCGGGCTATTTTGAGGAGCATAGCTCGGCCGTAACGCGCATTTACCCGCGACTAGCGCAAGGAAGTCTCCTGCGAGACTCGGACCTCGGCTTGGGCCGTCGCGGGGTGGTCAATAGCCTGAAGGGCAGGACGGAAGCTCACTGGAGTGAGCGATGTACGCAGTAAAGGTCCTCGCCTTCCCCGGTGAAGGCGGTTTTTTACCCTAATCTAATTTTGACAATTTGTCTAAATTGACGGTGATTGGAACATCCGGATCCGATAGGACATATCGGGGCCTCCTACGGGCGTTATTAGTCGGGAAAGGGTAATAATTGGTGATATTGCACCAACGGGTTGGGATGATTGTTGAAGTAGCGTGTGGACATCCATTGGGCTATCGAAAAGTTGTCTATATTATATCCACGTCACCCGACCCGTAATCCTATATATACATTGATATAGCATCAAGTACTTACTGTCAAATAAAAAATCACAGAACACTAAAAAAAAACTTGAAACGACTCCTTTGCACTGCTTTTGTTAACTGCCACCGGACGCTGTTACAATCTTTTTGTAAACAAGATAAGGTACTATGGTGTTGTAATGCGTTTAGGTAAATTAAATTACGCCCTAGTTACCATTATTTTGTTAATTCATATTCCAAGACATCGGTGGAAGATCAGAGAGACGCCACATCTCTACGCAACGCAAAGGGATCAATCCGCTCGGTGACTGGTCGTCGACGATGTAGTGTGGTCTAATTATGCCTAGCTCCAGAAGCTCAAAACTTTCCTGACCACTTCGCAGGCGTTACGGAGCGTCACTACTCCGAGGATTTCTGTTCCTTGGAAATCCAGAGCCATGCATACCAGGACTACGTGGGTGACTGATTCCTCTGCGCTGAAACAGCCTCTGCACAAAGGATTTTCTGTCGCGTCAAGGACAAAGAGATGTTTATTAAGGAGATTTATTAAGGTGGACTGTTTTACAGTATAGTACCCGAAACATAACAAAACCACTCTTTATATGGAAATTGTATTCCTTTTTACAACAAACTCCCAAGCGAAATTAGAGAATGATCACTGAATAAATTCAAAACTCTCGTTAAACGTAACCAATAAAGCTTTTTATAAATTTGACGATTATTTAAATGATCCTAATCCTTGGGATTGATTTGCTCCAGTTCAAAAAATTCGTATGACTTAAACGTATGGCACAGAGTTTCTTGCCCGCTGTACGCCAAAATGCAGTTTTTATTCGAAAGCATAGCAAAATGTGCAACAGTGTACCAGTGTTTAATTCAATCCTGAGCTAAGCTAAACAGTTATCAAAAATAATAATAATAAAATAGTATTTAGTTATAGCTAATGTTCGCTAACGCAACGCAACGTTAGGAAACGTTTTTCCAACGTTAGTGGACGGGTATTGCGACTGCGTAAGAGTTGCTGCATCTGGCACAGGACAAGTCACGCTGAGACTCACCAATCGGAAAACCAGAAATGGAGAGGCACTAAAAGAAGAAGCGCCTGGTCTGTCCACCGGTAATGGAAATTAACTTAATATAATTTTTCGTAAACACTTTTCTTTCCGACATTACGATGTTATTACCACCTTAAGTAGAAAATCATTTCAGTACATTAAAAATCTTCAGATAGCTGCCATGAAAATTGTTTTTATATTCTGTATATCAGTGGTTGTAGCCGGGCCAACGAAAAGCTACAAGGATCAGTGTAAGTGAGATTTTTCTAACTTTACTCCGCTGAAGGGTTTAGGAAGGTACTTCCTACAATCCTCTACTGGCTCACAGTCAAAGTCGTGGTCATCTATTGGGCTGAGGACCGATGCTCGACACGGTCCTGGTCGTGTCCGGAGGATCACGTCCGGTGGTGGGGCGCCAAGAAGTAATCTCGACTTGCGCTTGTCGTGGCGGTGAGCCATGGGGTAATTACGACTTGACCCTGTCGTGGTGGTGACTGACCCTATTTTTTGGGTGTGGAATCACGCTGTTATCCTGAGGGGCTTCGACAGCTCAGACAGCTTCCTGACATTGATATTCAAATTAAGACTGAACTTAGTTTAATATTTTGGCAAAACATCGGATACACGCATTTCTTGTATAAATCGTGAATACTTTGAAAACCAATCTTGTTTGACACGTTAAGAGAAATTATGACATAACTTTAGCTTTCACCTAAGTTAACAATGTAATTTTTAATATTGAACATTATGTAATAATATTGTTAGTTCGCTAAATATTTCTTACAGACTGCACAGACCCTAGAACCATGGAGAAGCATGAAGTGTACCAAGAGTGGGCTGATGCATACTCCTGCACCAGGCATAGGTGCCAGCCTGGGGGAAGGAATCTTGCTATATATACTGTTGGGTAAATATCTCTGGCCCTGCCCTTGATAAATGACATGATAAAGGCCCTTGATAACAATGTTATTATCTAGAGATTCTAATCAATTTTAGCCACACCCAACCCTTTGAATATATTTGCCCCCTCAGCCCCATTAGTCCCAATTTTAACTAAAAAAAGTTATCAAATTGTGTTCACGCTGTGTAAAGAGGTAATTAACACTTATTTTATCAATAAAAGGGTTATATGTTGCAATAATATATTTAAAACCCGTGAGACATATACTGTATAAAATACAATATCATACATATATATAACGATAGAATTTTAACGACAGAATAAAACCAATTTAAAAAGTTTGTTCCCCGTGGTAGATCAATAATTTGTTTTATTGCGATACTTATTTATTGTAAGCACCAGCTCTGGTGTCACCTACCAAGCGCCAACTTAAATCTTTAAAAAGCACTTGAACCAACTAGCCCATGACTACTCCAAAGGAAACACAATCGTTGGAATAAATACTCATATTTTTCCGTCTGCACTACGGCCTCGCCAGCTTTTGTTGTCAGAGGAAGGTAAGACGGGATTGTGTTAATAACATATTGAGTTATTTTGATAGTTGCAAGCGTGTCGAAGCTCCAGAGTCAGCCATCGAATGCGAGGAGGTGGTGGAAGATACCAACATGCAGTTCCCATATTGTTGTACAAGACTTAGGTATGTAAAATTATGTATTATGTAATGGAATTGATATATCATGTATAATACCAGCCTTGCGATTCTGTAACTCACTTTTCGAACTCACACAGCGGTTTTCGCATCGGCGGTCGCTCTCAAATCAGTCGTGAAGCAGTCATTTTATGATTTGGCATTCTGATAAACAATAAAATACAAGCTCCCAGCTGCGAAAACCGCTGTGTGAGTTCGAAAAGTGAGTTACAGAATCGCAGGGCAGTAACACCAGTTTCACCTGTATAGGACTCGAAAAATAACAAATCTAAGCGTACGACCAACCAGGCTCCAGAAGATAAACCTTATGTGGAAATTGTATTCGTTTTTACAACAAACTCCCAAGCGAAATTAGATAATTATTACTGAATAAATTCAAAATTCTTGTTAAAAGTAATGTAAATTATTTAAATGATCCTAATCCTTGGGATAGATTTGCTTCAGTTCGAATAATTTGTATAACTCAAAACTTAGCGATAAAAAGAGTGGCGTAGAGTTTCTTGCCAGTTCTTCTTGCCCGCTCTACGCCCTTGACTTGCGAACTGGTAGTAAATGTAAATTTCGAATCAATTTAACATCTTTTTTGTTGACGTTCATTCGTGTATTTGGTTATACATATATGAATAAAGTTATTTTGAGTTTGAAAACTTGCTCCTAGAAGGCATGAAAGCATGAAGTGGACATGTTATAAAACCCAATAATCTACAAAATAATTATAATATATTGCAACTTATCAGATAAGTAAAATAAATTTAGTCAAACAAAAAAACAATAGAAACCAGACGAGATTGACAAGAATGACCCCGAACTGCGCACAATACTTATGAATTTTTTGTTATATTTCGTTTTTAATATGTTAAACTAAACTTAGTTACAATATCGGCACAAAAAAGCGGCACGGTCAGTAGGGCTCTTCTCTCGAAGTAGTTCAGGCCATTTTTGACTCCCCATAACTTCGTTGGGGATATAATTAAAAGCCTGAACTTTCAGTCACCAAACATGATATATTTGAAATTTGAACCAGTAGTTAAACAATTTATAATTACTAGTCGAAGTTTCTTCATTTTGTCACTTACCGACTGATCATCAAAACTCTAAGGCACTTCTAGCAGATATAGAAGCTTCAAGAATACAATTATTGGTGTTTAATATTGATATGGTCACTATACGTCGTTAGGTTATTTACGTAATAACTTAAGATAGATTAATAACTTAAGAATTAAACTTGGAATTGGATCTCACTTTTTACGGTAGAACTGTGTTGCGAGACTTGGTTTTTTCCAAGGAATATGTTAGATGGCATCTTGTTTTATGGAACAGGGAGCAATGATGAGCTTCACCTGATGTTAAATAATACTCCAATTAATAATTAATCATGAATTACAGATGCCTCGTCGTAGTGCGTGGTGAAGTCTGGACCAAAGTGCTGGGCCAACCTTGGGAAAATCTGCCTGCAGCTCCATGGAGTCACATGTATAAGATGAAGAAACCGGCTCCTGCTGAACAGCCTAAGTAATTCATATAATATATAATCTTGACATATGTTACCATCACTCTGTGGAACCAGCCCGCTGAAGTAATTCCGAACTAATTCAACTTAGGGTCCTTCGTACCAATTCTTGAACACAACGCACTTGCGAGCCCTCTGGCAATGTGAGCTCTTGGGCGGCTGTATGACATAGCCCTTCAAGAATAGGTCGTATAAATTTTTAAAAGGCTGGCAACGCACATCCCTTTGGCAATGTGAGTGTCCATGAGCGGCCGTATCACTTAACATAGTCCTTCAAGAAGAGAGCGTACCACTTTTTAAAAGGCTGGCACCGCACTTCCCTCCGGCAATTAGTTAGAAGCGTCCATGGGTGGCGTAATCACTTAACGTGGTCCTTCAAGAATAGATCGTACCAATTCTTAAGAGGCTGGAAATGCACTTGCGAGCCGTCTGGCATGGATTGTCCATAAGCGACAGGTATTTACGAACCAATTCGACTTAGGGTCCTTCAAGAAATAGCGTAGCAATTGTGAAAAGGCCGCCAACGCACTCGCAGGCCCTCTGGCAATGTGAGTGTCCATGAGCGACGGTATCACTTAACATCAGATGAGCCCGGTTTCCCCCTGTTACATAAAAAAAATAACTAGAGTTACATGCTATGGGTGATGTGAAAGACGACCTGTCTTCTCTTTAGTGGCATTTCACTGTAGGCCTTAAGGGCCTTAACAGCTCAGCTCAGGCTGTCTGGTGAGCATAGCTCGGCCGGAACGGAACTAGCGCAAGGACGTCCTGCGAGACTCAAACTTCGGCTTGGGCTGTCGTGGGATCAGCCGTGGGAACAAAAGACAGGTCGTCATTAATTTGAATGAGCTGTCCAACCAAGTAAAAGCCTTTGCACAGTGGAATCTGTCGAAATTAAATGGCTAAGTATCTCTTTCATTCCAGGGGTATCATACAAGGACCGATATACGAAATGCAATCTGAGAACAATGAAGATAAAGTTCTGCGGTCATCAAAGGTATCCACCTCGAAACCAGATTGCCAAGACATAGCGATAGCGCCTAGAGTAGCTGTATCACCTGATTTTGTTGTAAGTTTCTCCTCATCGGATCTAGTATAATAATAAAAAAATCAGTGGCACCACAACCTTTTTAGGTCTGGATTTCTCTGTATCTGTTTCATGATCATTTGTCAATTTAATAGCCAAGTAGGTGACCAGCCTCCTGTGCCTGACACACGACTTTTTGGGTCTATGGCAAGCCGGTTACCTCACGATGTTTCCTTCGTACGTGCGAATGTTTGTTTTTTTGTTAAATATATGGTAAAATAAAAAATTCTTTGTTCATAGATCGCATTACAGACGACAAATGATGAAAAAGAGAAGAAGCAATTTGAGAGTTTAAGGTAAGTTACCCCACATTCTGAAATAAATGGTAGATTAAGCAACTCTCATATTATGTTATGTGTAAAAGATTTTCAAAGTTACAATGGTTACCTGATTTGAAGTCCTATGTTCCCCAAGTGGGGCAGAAAACCAGCCTGATCGGTCCCGAGCACTCTCTTTATTTCACTTCACGTCATTCCTGCCTCTTCTGCAATGATGTGTCGTTGCCAGGTCTGCTTTGGGCGGCCACGTTTCCTTTTTCTTGAGGATTCCAGTGGCTTGCTTGGCAATGTGACTTGGAGATCTCCGGAGCGTATGGCCCAAACATTTCCACTTACGGCGTTTTATAGACCTGCCAATTGGCTTATTGCATAGCTACCTTAGCTGATGATTAGAGATTCTCTTAGGCCAGAATATTCCAAGGATTTGACAAAAGGAGTTGGTTACTGTTCACAATGGTTACTGTTTAGGTATTTTAATTTAAAGGAGGAAAGATTTTCGTCCCTGTTCTGTGATAACGCTATGAATAAAAGAGTTTTTTTATGGTATTTCAGACGCAAACACAATCGAAGAACGACACCTGTTCCAGAAGAGAGCGACAAAGATCACAATATAGATGTAGGGGTTACGGAAATGGTGAGTTTCACTTTTATTCGATAGTAAAAAAAAAATAAAAAGGAAGGCGTGGTTTGTGATACCGTTTCTTAATAGGAAAGTAGGTGATCAGCCTTCTGAGGCACGTGGGTGTAATGCCGGTATTACGATGTTTTTTTTTCATATGAGCGAGTGTTAAGCTACTCTAAATCAATGGCTAGATTGTGTATCGTCGCTGTAGAATGATAACCTCTTATGTCCAGAGAAGCAAACATTACAGGAAACGAAAAAAATGTTTCATTTCGTCAATGTTCGTTAAAATATTATTATATGTTTTTATCCATAGTTTTAAATAGTAAAAAGGACTTATGTTAATTACCAATCCCTTACTTCATTAGATTATACCAGTTAAATGACATAAGAGTCACAGAATAAAAAATAAGTTATCATTCTACAGTGACGATATATTTCTTAATAGGCGAGTAGGTGTTCAGCGTAAGGCATGTCAGTCTACTGCCACACCACACCACATTACATCACATTTTGTTAATGTAATTGTAACATGGTAATATACTGAAAAAAGAAATAGAAATTCCGTCACACTGTCTGCATTAGGGTACCAAATGGGTTAAAACAGTTCTAATATTAAACTAACTAAACTTTACTTTGCAGGTACCCTCAGAATCAGAAGAAAAGTATTACAGACACGGGGTGACTGAAAAGGGTATTAAGGTATGATATTACTCACTAGATGTTAAGTGATAGCGTCTACTGCCAGAAGGCACGATCACCTCCGGTTTTTTTAAGAATTGGTACGCTCTTGAAGAAGCCTCATACGAATTGGTACGGAAATACTTCAATTGCCAGAGGATTCGCCACATTGTTAGAGGTTTCGCCAAATTTCCAAAGAGTTCGCCACATTGCCAAAGGGTTCGCCACATTGCGTTGCCGGCCTTTTAGGATTTGGTGCATGTTAAGTGGTACCACCACCCATGGACACTCACATTGCCATATTGCTCGCAAGGGCGTGGCTGGCCTTTTAGGATGTGGTACACCCTTTTCTTAAAGGACCATGTTAAGTGGTACCGCCTCCAATGGATACTCTCACATTGCCAGAAGTGCGGTGCTGGGCAGGTTTTAACCAACCATAAACAATAGTCTATATGTAAAATTGGTATTTCTTTTATAGAATCAGGAATGGACAGAAATACCCCAAAGCCAATGGAATGAGCGTGAAAAAGATGACGCGTTGGTAGTTATTGTGAGTTTTTTCTTTGTACCTGCCCTCCAAAACGGCCGTTCATTGTTCAGAGACTAACCCAAGGTGACATCGGTATTATAGAAATTATTTATTAGATGTTATAGTACGGCTTTCCATGTGTATCAGGAATATCTGTATATGTGTGTGTGTGCAAGAACTAAATATCTTTTTAACGTAAATATATTAAACATCTTTTCAAGTATTTATACACGTTACAGCTTTAAAATTATCAGAATAGTAGTTAAGTATTTCTATCAATTGTTATTGAAATAGCCATTTCGAACCTCTCAACGCTGAAATAAAAAAAAAGTTTAGAGACTGGGAGAGAAATGCCTATGTTAGGGCATCATCATCATCAATAGATGCACTGCACCCTATGGACCTAAGCCTCCGCAAGTATCTATCGCCAGCGCAATCTATCTCGTGCTTCTTGCATCCAACTTCGAACACCTGTTTCGAGGTCCTTGACAATTCCATCACACCAGCAGTCTGGTTGTAAGTTCAGTAAAGACCGTGGGTGGCTCTGCTGTTGTCTGCCATTTGATGCAAACCACATGAGCCTATTGCATTTTAATGTTATAATGTTCTTCATTCACAAATATGTTCCGCAAACGAGGCCAAAAATTCTTCGAAGAATCTTCCGCTCGAAAATAAGGAGAGCAAGCTCTTTCTTCGTTCTTCTCGTTAAGGACCCAGGTTTCAGAACCATAAGCAAGCGCTGATCACAGCAGAGTTTTGCATAGAACAAGCTTGGTATTCTTTTTCCGCGATTTCCTATCATGATACATCTTTAGGGATGTTGCTTGAGGGTTGATTGCTTCAGAATTATTTGGTCGATGTTAAAATAAAACTCCCTAATTACTTGTAGAGAAGAGGTTAAGATGGAATAATGAATGATATTTATTTACAAAACTGTGTACAATTATACTTAAAAATTATCCTACACACATGTGGTGCCCAAATGCGGAGCGTTGGTTGGTTGCGCAGATACCATTGTAGGCGATAAAAACGCGGCGCGGCAAAAAGTTGGCCTTTTTCTGCACGCAGCCGTCGAAACGTACGAACGTGTTCTTCTCAGAACACTTCGATATCGTAACCTTGCGATAACGCTAATAACTGTCCTTTTCAGGACAAATTATCGTATCACGACTAAACGTCTAACAACTGTCCTTTTCAGGACATATTATTCTTGTTTCTCGACGAAAACGTTTGACAACTGTCCTTGTCAGGGCATATTACCGTGTCTTACGACACGATGAAACTGTTCTTTTCAGAACACACGACCGTATCTATTCTGATATTATGTTCTTGTCAGAACACATCACCGTTTCATTACGACACGTTAATCAATCACCTACACATCCATTGATCATTTAAGAGCATTTTCTCTTCTTAAGTTACGAGTACAGTTTCTAGTTTCATATTTTGATTTATGACCCAGGACACAGCAGATGCTGAAGAAAAGCAAGAGAAGCCGGCTCTGCAGGCCTTGGTCGATGCAATTGGAAGTCGGATGAGAGATATAGAAAATGTCGTCCAGAAGATGAGTGAGAAAGTACAGAATAAAGTCGAGCCATTCGCAAGTTTGGAGAACAGGTAATTGACGAATCTTCTTAACCTGCAAGTTAATAATAATAATAATTCTTAATTGATAAATAGAAAACCTTTAATACTGGCATTTCCTCGCTGTATTGCGGTACTTATTCCTTTAATGCACTTGAAGACTACGGCCCAAGATTCTCTACTCCAAAGGGAACAAAATCGAGGAGAGACTCTTATATTTGAGCCGTTTTTTATTTTCCGCCTGCTCTGCGGCCGCCCCAGCTTTTTGGCTTGTGTGAGAGAAAGTGAGAATAAAAGCAAAGATGTCGACTTTATTGATTTTCATTCATCTTCTATTCTCACCACGTTTCTAACCAACTTTATAGAATTTCTAGGCAATCTGAAAACGACGGAAAGACAGAGCAAGAAGAGAAAGAGTATGAGAAGGATAAAGCACCGAATAAAGATGATCACTACAAGCGGTAAGTGTTTTACAATTTAAATAATAATAGATAGGTCTCATTTTAATAAAAGAAACACACTTAAAATTGTATATAGAAATAATGTTTTTAAATTATTATTTTTTCAAGGATCTCTTATAGAGTACTCTCTCTATCTATCTTTTCGGGGTCCTTTACTTCAGGGTTCGTACTTTCGCTCATTTATGTGAGCTTTTGTCCTGCTCTTCAAGTGATTGACAACTCTGCGACGGCCCAAGCCCGAGGTCCAGGTCTCGCAGAAGACACCCTTGCGCTAGTCGTGCCAAAACAGCCCGAGCTGGGCCGTCAATACCGAACAGCGGGATTCCATTAAAATAGCAACTGTGGGCCGGTCAGCCTATGATGAGATTGGTAGAGGATCCTTCCATTAGGTTGGAGGAATAGTAAACATTCCTTCCTCCACAATTCACTCGTAGGCAAGCCTATCTAATATATTTTTTATAGGTTTTCAGTGAGAAATCGAAGTAGATACCTAGGAGGTACGACGGAGACGAGTGATCAGCCGATATTCGTTGATGATGGGTACTTCAGCGATGCAAGCAATGTTATTAGGCGTGCCAATCCACCAAAGGTATGCTTTTTCGGTTTTAAGTAATACTTCCAAACTAACCGTGGCCCAGGACCTGAAGTAGGATCCTGAAGCGTCTGGATCTGGAGAACACAACTGTTCCACAACTTAAGGCACTTTTAGCTGTGTATATTCCACAACCAATTCAACTTAGGGTGCTTCAACAGCGTACTAAAAGGCCGGCAACGCTTTCGAGGCTTCTGTAACTCACTTTATTTTGTACTTAAGAGCTTTTTGTAGTTTACCCTGTTCTATAAAAAACCTAGCAATATTGTAAACACTGACAGTTAAATGTCGAGGTTCAAATCGTATGTTACGGTGACACAAGGTGCCCCACAAATCAACAATTGTTTGTGCTTACAAACATAATTGTGTTATCGATCTACAATACAGAATAAAATATGCGCCATATTTTTGTCACATGAACAGTCTTTTCAGCTACATTGCGTATCAATGAACATCGCGGGGTGTCTAAATTTTAAATTTAAATGGGTATTATTTTCAAAATACATTCAATTTTAACAAAAAGCTACCATTACAGATTGACCCAGTGCGGCATAGTGACTATTTACATCACATCCAAAACAATACATACACATACAAAAATCAATAAAACATTAATATTATAATTAAAACTAGCTGACCCGGCAAACGTTGTTTTGCCATGTATAATATTATTTATAGGAAATATTTTTTAGTTCAATAACTATAAATACTACAATACAAAATAGGGGTTGATCGTAGAGGGGTGACAATTAAGGTTCTATGTATTTGTATGCTATATCATAAAAAAAATAAAAACAAAAAGTATTGTCTAAAAATAAAAACTTAGGGGTGGGACCACCCTTAACATTTAGGGGGATGAAAAATTGATGTAGTCCGATTCTCAGATGGACTGAATATGAATAAAACATTTCATAAGAATTGGTCGAGCCGTTTCGGAGGAGTATGGGAACGAAAATTGTGACACGAGAATTTTATATATTACATACTAACAAAAAGATTTACTATTTCTTAATAGGAACTGGGAATCAGACAGTCAGTGTCAGTTTATTCAACGGAAAATGAAAAACGTCAGTCAATCTATGCTCATTATTTCCATACATTGTCACCTGTGGCCTTTTCGAGAGGCTAGTTTTCGCTATGTACGAACCAGGCGGTCCATGTCGCCTCCTAACGTAACCAGGTACCCTGAGACCTAGGCACTAGGCCACTGTCTTCTTTATCTTTACCAAATAAATCAGTGGCGCTACAACCTTTTTTACGTCAAGGCCTCAGACTTTCTGTATCTGTTTCATGATCATTTGTTAATCTAATTGGCATGTAGGTGTTCAGCCTCTGCCTGAGACACGCCGTCGCACGCTGAAGCCACTAGGCCAACATTACTCAACCATATCATTGATTTTTTATACATTTTCTGGGATTAGAACACTACACGACAGCTTAACATTGTGTTGTAAAAATTTTAGGAACCACCCACATACATGGCCCCAGTTGAAAATCGTCGCCACCACGAGATACTTGAAACCAAACATAAAAAGAAGCATCTTCATAAGAAACATGGAAAGGTAGCTTATAATATAAAAATAGCCATATTACATACACATATAGCGCTACAACCTTTTAGGTCTCGGCGTCAGATTTCTGTACCCCTGATCTAATAGGCAAGTGATCAACCTTCTGTGAGACACACCGTCGATTTTTGGAACTATGGCTGACTTATTCACGATGTTTTCTTTCGTACGAGCGAGTGTTAAATGCCTACATAGAATGTCAAATTGCACAGCCGGGGATCGAACCTACGACCTGGTTGAACTCTAGGGATGTGAATCGCACGTTGATCACTGCTACTTTTGAAGTCAAAAACCGGAAAGAAATGGGACGGTATTTTTTGTGTGATCAGGCGTGGGGGACCGATTTGAATCGAGGTGTCAATTGATTCGGATTTATGACTTCCAAAGCCTAATAAATAAAATATTACTAATTTTAGTAAATAAAAAAATATATTTAAAAAACAGTGTCTCTACAATCTTTTATATCTGAGCCTCAGATTTCTATCTGGTTCGCGAGCATGTTTTTTTCTTAGACATTTGGGAGTTTCCTTCACGGTAAAAACAAAATTACCCCTAAATTAAGGGGGATTCGAGATGTCTCAGGGGTTTTCAGGAGGTTCGTTTATTTAGTGGTTATTTTTAGGGGGTACTTTAATCAAAAATTTTTTTTTAAAACGCACTTACATAAACTTATATAAGCCCAGAACCAAACCAACAAACAAACAAAAAGTTATGGGGAATAAGGAGATAGCCCCCTGGATATCTCTGTATTCCCTATAAGTTTGGGGCAAAACCAAGTTGGAATCACTAACATTTTAATTTCCCAGGGCCACAAGAAACATCACAGCAAAGACGACAAACGAAAACACAACAAAATAATTTCAAATGAAGACAAGAACATTGTTTCTTTGGAGGACACAAGTGATAATAAATAGTTAATTACCATTTAAGAAAATAAATTAATGATTTGTGTTCGCGTTTTTTTTTATGCTACTTTATTATAACGGCCCCATACGGGTGATTTATAATTTCACTTCACTTTTAATTCTGTTATTTCCATGACACAAATATACAGTATTTACAATTTTCTTAACCTACATAATAATAAAATTAATATATAGAAAATAAAGCAAATTTAAAAATGTTGGTCCCTGTGTACCTTTAATGCTGTATCACTTGAGCGCACGAGCTCTCTGTTATCTGTGCCATCTAGTGTTATCTACCAGGACTCGGGAGCCAACTTAAAACTTTAATTAGCACCTGTACACTTGAACCCTACTTACTGCCCAAGAGTCTACTCCAATTCAAAATAATTTATTCATATAGGTAACACAATGTAAACTTATGAACGTCAAAAAAAAAGAGATGTCTATGAAATGCTTCTAATTTTACATTTACTGCCAGTTCTCAAATCAAGGGCGTAGAACGGAAGAGAAGAACTGGCAAAAAACTCTCCGCCATTCGTTTTAATCGCCAAGTTTTTGGTTTTTCACAATGTATGTAAAGAGCTGCTAACCATTAGACCACATGACAACTTAAGTAATTAATAATAATAAAATAAATTAAAAATAAAGATGTCCTCTATCAGCAGGAGGCATGGTGAAATGGGAGCACGCACTTACATTCTCGTGGGAACAACACGCAAATACATAGTCGAAATAACTAAGATCATACGCAAACACGAAATACGAATTTAAGACCTGTCACCACAAGTAGCACCCGTTCACGAGTATGACGGTCCAAAGTGACTTAAATCAAAATTGGAGGTTACTCTTATTTTGATGAGTTACTTATTAAATTATATTACGAGTGAATTTAAATAGATTTCAATTTTGTTTAACCATTATTTATTTCTCTGTAGGATCAGTCTAAGGCTTAAAATAAAAGATTGAATTTTAATACATATATTTTACACTGTTAAACTATTTTATACATAATTGGATTGATTATTTAGTGTATGTTTTCGATTACAAGCTTGTCTGTCTGGTACATATTTCCAATGATTGTCTGAAACAAATACAATAAATTAATACACAATTTTTTTCATATGGCTCATTTAATTGTATTATCATATTAAATTGTATATTTTATAAAACCTTTGAAATTAATCAAAATAAAATACAATAAGAAAAGTTGCTTTTGTGTCTATTAACACTCCATAAATATTTTATTCAAATTTAACCTTTATTTATCAAATGAAATCATATAAGCAAGGATACAATGTTTGTATTTGTACATATAAAACAAAATCGGGCAAGTTCCACATTATATAAATTAGAAATGGTTAGAATGATTAGTTTGTTCGATTTGTCTCTTTGAATAGCAGAATAAAAATCTATTAAAAATATAAGAGATTAAAAAACATTGAATTGCCAATATAAATAATAATATAGAAAACACAACAACTTGACATTTGCATAGACATTTCCAACGTCATAGACAAGAATGACCCTATGACATTTTCTTTAGAGACTTTTAGAAGGTACAAATGTCAAAGATTGACAAACCGCACTATGAAATAAATTACCTGTCTCTTTATAATTTCAAGATTTTCCTTGGCAAACTTAATTTCATTGTTTATAGCTTTGCCATCGCTTAATGATTTATTTTCTTTGAATGCATCTCTTACTCTTCTGATCGCGTATGATCTGTAAATGAAATTAATTTTTATTATTGCCAGCTCATTAAATATGAATTGTGAGATCATTAACAATAAGGCATGCAAATTTAGGCAAAAATGCATGAAAAATAAACAATATTAACCTTCTTATTATATTAAACTCCTTAAGCACCAGATGGAACATTCTAACCCAGTCTTTGAGTCACATATTATCTCAAACATTACACACACAAGTCATACTTCATTATACTCATTACTAGACTATCTAAAGTTAGTAATTCTTTTTTGGGAAAAGGGATACTCTTCTTTAATAAAATCCTAGAGGCTCTTTTAATAAATTTAAGAAATGTATTAAAGCTGTATAAAAAGACTTATTATAAAGTTAACAATTATCTAGTTGATAAAAGGGCCTGGGACTAGTGCTAGACAGGCTACTTCTAAGTAATTTGCTATATTTGTTTTAAAATTAGTGTTTTTTGATGATTTGCTATTTTAAAAGAGTACCGAGAGTTTTTTACACTGGCTTTTTCTCTCAGCCTACACCCTCTATCTTCTTTGCCGATGAGTAGGGATGACTACAGATTCAAATTTTATGACGTGGTATAAGTGATACCTGTATCTTATGTTCCATAATATTTTATTTTATTTTTTAGGTCTTGCAAAACAATATTCAATAGTCTCTTACCCTACATATGTTGATTCCCTAACAATGTTTTTCTGCACTATACAAGTGTTGACTGCACATAAACAAAAATGATTGGAGACCAGGTAAAATTATAATCTGATAGTTTAATATATTAAGAAGGTTTGTATTGTTTATTTTATTATACTTAGTTACTAAGTTTCGACTTTAAATCTGAAACCCTTCAGACAAAAATTTTGTTTGTCGAACTAAGCATTACATACTTGTTTATAGAAAATTTTACAATAAAACTCATAGTTGTGTCTGCTTCATTTCTTTATATAACAATGCTCTGTTATTGAGTGTATCTTTAAACATGCTTTTACACAATGACACTGTTTTGATGTAAAAACAATAACATTTATATAATATTAATGTAATATATGTCTTTGCTTGTGAACCCAATATTCATATAATGGGCTTTATCGCAAATAATGATCTACTTTATACGCCACTTACTGCAATGCATTAGCAACATGGATTTAACAATCATACATAGAAAAACTTTACTCAATAATAAGTTACTTCATGTGAACTCATATGTACTGTATGCATATTGGTAATCTCTTTACTAAGTACGAGATTAGCAGCAATAATTAGATAAGTAGAAAATTGGAATGTCTTATAGGTTACGTAAATTTAACAACAGACCTGATATTGTAGCTTGAAAACTTTTGAGATTCCCTTAGTAAACATTTATATAACGCTAAAATTTTAGATTTCGGAACAATTGCACTCATTTTAAATAATTTTTATAACATTAAAAACAAACAATGATGAAATTGTTTTATTTATTTACGAAAATCGAATGTCAATCTGCGAAGTGCGAACGATATTTCAAATATCATATTTGTAACAATTTTACACACTTTATCAGTTGTCAAAATGACAGTTCATATTTAAAATTTTGGAAACATTAACATTGTCTATTGCATAGACATAATATCGACGTAGGAAAGCATATTTGCTGTAAGTAGACAAAATACCTAAAGTGACTTTTTCCTGCCATTAGAATCAGAAAAAAAAGCCGCATCGAATGACCTGGGTCCTGTGTCTCTACGATGAAAAAAAATTACATACGCCGTTGAAAACGCCCGTACTTATATTATTTTTAGCAAGATTAAATGCTGTATGTAGACCAAAATCTAGTCATTTCAGACATTTTGCACTTACAGCAAAAGAAAATCTGCATTTTTTTCTTTACAAATACTTACTTCTTCCCATTTAAAAACTTAACGCTACTTACAGCATTTCAGCGGCGTGTGATTTTTACATTCGTTTACTTACAGCAAGTTTAGGGAACCTACAGTTTTGGTTTTTTTTTACCATTTACGACATTTTATTTCAACCAAACATTACATTACCAAATGACCCACTGCATTTCTAGATCTAATCATAATTATAAACTAATCTTACATCTTGAATTGCAATTGAAAGTACCCAAATACATAAATTTACTGCATACAGCATATTTACCGCCTGTAAATTGATAATATTTCCGCGCGTACATTTTTCTTCCTTAGTTACAGCGTTTTAAAGGTTTGTGATTTAAAAAACTGTTTGCTGTAACTAGCCAAACACGTACTTATAGTAACTTTGGATAAAAAGTTTACATTGCAAATGGTGACTGGCAGTTAAATAAATATATGTTTCAAAAATGGTAGCAATATCATGGATAGGTCAATTTTTTTCCGAAATTAATAAAGTTTTTTGGCTCTGGTGAACAATTGCAATATGTCTACTTACAGCAAATGTGCTTTCCTACGTCGATATACAATTTTAATTTTATTGATAGTACTGAAAACAAAACAAGAACTATATTGTTGTATATGATAATATTTCAAATTGCTAAGAAATTTAATTTTGAAAATATTTGGCTAAACTAATGAAACCTAACTCACAATAATAAATTAGTATTACAACACTGTCTCAAATAGAAGTCAAATTAAAATCATGTTTGATTTCACTCGAAAACCAATACAGAATGAAATTAATATTTTTCTTTAACAAAACATTATAATTTATTGAATACAGTAAAACTATCAACTGTTAAATTTTTTTTAAATATTAGCAGCACAACACACCAAATTATTTCATTATGGTTTACTGGATACCGTTACAAAATAAAACACCTTTTCAAGATCAGATATTCCTAGCCGCCTTAATTTAAAACATATTAGAAATGTTCGCTAGTCTTCAGAATGTATTTCGTAGTATTAAAATTATTATTCAGTGGACAAACGTCCGTCATTTTTGTGAAACTACAAACTGACAAATAGACAATGTCAACAATTCATGACATGATTGAATCTGACGGCTGACTCAAATCAAGTAATCAACTTTCGATTTACACTTCAGTTTCAGCAAGTTTTCAGGCTATTCATGTTAATTAAATAAACAGTCCACCTTCAACGTAAATAATTAAGAACCAATGAATTAAAGTGAAGTTTTTGTTGTAAAAGTCCGGCTACTGTACAGAGTAAGTAAACCTTTTTAATAACTTGAGGAATGTACGCAATCAAAAATTAAATATTCTATAAGATTTTTCAAATAATTACCAAGCGCTTCGTAAAAGATTCATCGAACATTATAATTGAGTTATTTTGAGACTTTAAATTGGTTTACAGCTTAGTTACGTAAAATTCGTACTTTAGACGCTTCTTAAGTATTACTACTTATGTTGTCATGTAATGCGCTCAACGCTCTAATAACTAATTAGTAATTATACCATAGTTACGTAAATATTAACTGGACAAACATCCTTGAATCGATAAATCATTAATTATGCATGTTTTATTTAGAAGCAGACGTTTTTTTAATGTTTGACCTTATATTTATAACATGAAGTGTATTTGAAACTTACAATTTAGTTCTAAGTAAAAAAAGTTGATGAAAACTTAATACTTTGCCCATACCGATAATGTTCTTTATATGATAAAAAAAGTATACTTTTAACATATTTTAAACAATTTTTTTTGATTTTATAATAACATTTACTGCTTAAGGATTGTTTTGACAAGCTATTTTTATATCAATTCCATTTTGTAATGTTAATTATAATTAGTACAGTTATATTAAACAAAACTGAAAACACACTATATCCCACCTGCTGTTAAGTGAAGGTGGGAGGTGGCTATTTAGTCGCACATTGAAAGAGCCTATATAGTTCTCTAAGAATGATTTAAGAAGGTAAAAGCACTCTTTCTCTGCATTGACAAGAAAGAAAAATCTAAATTATTTAGTGTGGTACTTAATATTGGCACGAAAAGGGTGAAGCTTTATAGTGATTATGACAAAGAATTCTTATAATGGTTTAGATTTTAAAGTAAATAGTAGTAGTATCTGTTTCGCCACAGCCTCACATTCCAGGACTATGTGGGGGACTGATTCCTCTGTGCTGAAACAGCCTTTGCACATGGGACTGTTTGTTGCGTCTAGGACAATAGGATGTTTATTAAGGAGACAATGGCCTGTAATTGTCCCTATCATTGTTTTGAGATTATTTCTATTTAAGCTTAGAAGTCGTACCACATAATAAAAAATAAAAATTTATTCAAAAAATAATTTTTTTTTGGGGTGGACACCCCTTGTCACTTAGGGGTTTGAAAGATAGATAGTAGCCGATACTCAGACTAACTGAATATGCATTGAAAAATTCATAAGAATCGGTCAAGCCATTCGGAGAAGTATGGGAACGAACATTGTGACACGAGAATTTTATATATTAGATAAATAATTTTTTGAGGGCCTCTTATAGATGATAGGCGTCCTCCAATTGGCTCCATCTCTCTATATCTTGAGCATTTTTCTCCCAATCTTCTCCACCAACTTCTTTAAGTTTGTTAGCCTACCATGCAAAGGGGTGACCTCTCTTTTCCCTGGTGGCCCTTTCCACTTTGTTACCCTCTTTGTCCAAGGGCCATTGTTTGTGCAAGTGGTGTGGCTCTTTTCTATTTAATTTTTATGCAAAGGGATAGTGCATCAATAACTTTTATTTTGTATTAAATATTAATGAATATAGTGCCAAATATAACTTTTTGACACACAGAAGAACACACACTTAGCTATAAGTTTCCTTAAGAAGGAACATGTGCAAATGATTATCACTAATTATCCAAAGCAAAAATAAATGTTGTTGTAACTAAATGTCAATGTCTTTTTAAGGTTTATGAGTCATGTGAATGGTGAAAGGTTTCATTGTCCCAAATAATTGCCAAGTGTTAACTTTACATAGAGGTTGTGTTCCTACCCCGGCATTACAATGGATTCTTGTTTTATTTTTAATTAAATTTATAAATGTTTTTTTTGTTTTGTACAAATGTAACGAAGTGTGAATAAATAATTAAATATATCACTGCCGTGTAATGCTTTCAAGGGTAAGGTGATAAGACACCAATTATAAACAACTTTACTGATAAATCAATAATAATTCTTAATAAATCAATCCGAAAGAGCACTGTTGGCCTAATGGCTTCGAGTGCGGCTTTGAATCCTGAGGTCGTAGGCTCGATCCCCGGCTGACCACCATTGGACTTTCTATGTGCGCTTTAACATTCGCTCGCTGCGAAATATGAGATTTGCACCGTGGTTAACATTTTGTTGACGAAATCCTGAACCCCATGAATATATGGGAATTACCACTGTCTAGGAAGACATTAAAAAATCAACCGAACAAAACAAAAGGACTTCCAACCGATAGGGTCTCTTGGAAACGGCGGACTGCGTGTTTCGGCTGAGAATTTCATAGTTTGCGAGTTGCGGAGGGAAAACAAATCAAATGGCTCATTTATTGTATGCATGAATTAATTTAATATTGATATATTTTCCAGCATTGATGGCCCGCGATGATACACAATGGGATGATGATGTTTGCCAATACTCAAGCAGGGAGAGTGATGACAGCCCACTGTTATACAGGTGAGGTTTGAACTTCAGTTGTGACACACTTTCACTCGTAACCTAACGGTTTTTAATGTTTCATAAGCTACTCTCATACCTGAGGTCATAGAACCCTGGCTCCAATGGACTTGTATGCATTTAACACTCGCTCGTATGAACATCGCAATACCGGCATTAGACCCACGGGCCTCAGAAGGCTGATCACCTACCTACCTACAGAAATATGAGGCATAGACCTAAAAGCTTGTAGCGCCACTGTTTTGTTTTAATATGAAATATAATAAAGGAGAAGTTGGAAAAATCTCCGTTTTGCCATTTCGACCTGCTTTGACTGTACACGAATGTATTTAAAATATTATTCATTGAACCTGGGAACAGAGAAGTTTCGTTTTAATATGCAAGGCCACCTGACACGCACTTTATTGCCGGTATTACGATGTAAGGAGTTAATATTTGGAGATGCCTTCATTCGTAGACACGACTTCAAGGTGCCTTCAGGAACTGTGGTGAACATTAAAAAAAAAGAAAAAAATCGAAGATTTTTTCCATGTGATTTATGTGGGATAAAATTTATCACGTATTCCAGCAGCATTAAGTTTTTCAGTCGGTTAAAATGTAGATTATTTTTCAGACATGACAGAAGTCGACTGGTTAGAGAGAAAGCTGATAGAAGATGGCCGGTGACAATTATAGCGAAATTTTCACTTTTCAGCACCGCCATGATATTGTTTTGTGTGTTTATGTATATCCCAGTGTACAACAGAGCAAATGACCAGATGCCAAAAGGTATGTTTTATAGAACGGGGGGGAGGGGTCGGGCAGGAGGGTCTGAAGTTAAGTGATACCGTCCATGGACATAGAAAGCAGGCACGCCAGTTGCCGAATATTAATAATTCATTCCTACCACTAATTCTTAGTGTAAAGGATGTTGCTAGGGTGTAGCAGCTATCAATTGCAACTACGAAAAGAAAATTAACACTTCGATAGAAAAATCCATATTAAACTTCGCTAATACCTTAGTTCATTAGAAAAGGGCGTGGCCAGGGTGAGGCAGGTCATCTACTACTCCCTAGAAGACCATTTTAATTTGTCAATTTTTTGTATGTTCTTGTGAAGTTCGTTAAAATCGGTTTTGCCAGTGTCGAGGGTGTTGGTGGTGGCAGGGTCAGGTAGGGGCTGCTGGGAATATTTCAGGGTGTAACCTGGTACTTATTTGATGAAGGTGTAACAACAGAATGATGTATAATTTCAGTTGCGGTAGTAGGCTGGTCCATTCATACGAATCGCGATACAAAAATCTATGTACAACCCAATAATGTTACGACGATACACGAGCCCATATACATATGCCCAAAGAAAAATCGGGAAAAACTATTTCTACTCATCGTAGTGTGTTCGTCGACAACGAACTTCGAGAGGCGGGTCGCGATTCGGGAGACTTGGGGTAATTCGACAAACTTTGTGGAAAGTGCGAAGATATTTCACGCGGTACACGAGAAATATAAGAATTATAATTATTCGTATGATCTGTACGCGGAAATGAATTACACGGATCGGCGGAGACGGGGTGTGGAGCCAGAAGAACGCGTCAGGGTAACGGAAGGTGTTGGTAACAACACTAAAGATTTTGAACTTAAAGATGAAGTGGGATTAGATAAAACAGATTCGGCAGTCGTTGACAAAGCAACGGAAGCACTAGAAGATAAATATTCTGTTAATCAAGAAGAACTACAGCGTACAGTTATTGCAACGAAAAACATACATAGAAAGAGAGATTTAACCAGTTTCAATCGGATACTACCGGAACTTGCTAAAGCGTTAAGCGTTACCATGACAACGGACGACAAAATGCTGCCAGAATTCGATATGAATAAAGAAATTGGCGGACAAGAAAACGAAGTAGATTACAATTATGATTACGACACAAATATAATGAAAATACCACCTCGAGGCGAAGAGAACTTCGATCTGGAGAATGTCATAGCCAAAATCAAAGAGAATTATCCAAAAAGTGATGTAAACTTCAAAGTTGTGTTTCTATTGGGGTTGCCAGCTAACGACAATAGTAGCGAGGTTCAGGATAAAATTGACGAGGAAGTGGATAAATATGGCGATATTATACAGGAAGGTTTTATCGATTCATACAATAATTTGACTTTGAAATCTATAATGATGCTAAAGTGGGTGACAAATAATTGTGGTGATAGCGGTAAGTAAAAATCCAAATTTTATAACTAGAACTAAACTTTTAAATGCAATTTTTTTTTGTAGATATTGATGTCTTATATAAAACTGTAGAACATTGCTCTATTGTCAATAGTTTCCGCAACATATAGGAATGGTATTTTTCACACTTTACACTATCGTACTTTCATATTCTATTTTGAAAGTATTCCATAGCCCTTGTTCATCAGGGATTTAGGATTTCCTCTACTGACTAATAAAATAAAAAACACCTGCTCTGTGGACGCTAAATCATCTTTGATTATAGCAACACTAAGTACAGACATACAGACATTTGACATTCATAGGGTCCTTTAGACCTTCTGACAAATACTTTCTTTTGTAAAAATCGAATCCACTGACAGATGACAGTGACAATCAACTATGACATCTTAAATGTTGACATTTAAAGAAATTAAAAAATTGTCGTAATATTTTTATTTTGTCAGTTTTTACAAATAATAATTACATTAGTGAATGTAAAACGAAGGATATAGTATATAGAAGTGGAAGGTTCTGGTACCACCATAGCTTCCTCCGATATATCCCCTGGGACACCATTCTCTATACTCCCTACATCCTTGTGCCTTCCTGTATCCAACTTTGGCTCCTTCATCTATCTACCCTTGGCCCCATCCTGTATCTGCTGATGATGATGCTCTTCAGTATTCAACCTTGGGCCCCATTTTCTGTTCTCCCTTGAACATTTACATATTTTATTAACGTTTTTTGAGCGGCCTTTCATTGTTTTTTTTTTATATTTCCAGTTCGATATATATTAAAAACTGATGACGATATGTATATTAATGTGCCGAATTTGATGACGAACCTTCAGAATCGTTCAAATATTCACGACCAAACAAAAGAGAAGGAATATCTGTTAATTGGTGATTTGATTTGTGGAGCTCGTCCCGTCCTGGATACGAGTAATAAATGGTAAGGAGTCGTTATGTTTAGTGCACAGAAAATGTCATCCAGTTCTAGAAATCTAATGAAATGATGAAATTTAGAATTCTAAATTGGAGTTCATACTGAAAATATAAATGATGAAATATTAACATTTAAATACCTGGTTTTACAAATATAAAAATGAAAAGGATATCTTAGTTTCTGACACGTGAGCAGTGTGTGTTAAAAGGGTACCAGTCTTAAATAACACAAAGACGTAGAGACGTACTATTTGCTCGAATATTTTTCTTGAATTATATATAACAGGGGGCAAACAGACAGGAGGTTCATTTGATGTTAAGTGATATGCCCATGGACACTCACTGGAATTGCTTCTAATTTTACATTTACTGTCAGTTCTCAAATCAAGGGCGTAGAACGGACGAGAAGAACTGGCAATAAACTCTCCGCCACTCTTTTTAATCGCCAAGTTTTTTGTTTTACACAATGTTTCTAAGGAGCTGCAACCATTACATAATATGCTACATGACATCTCAAGTAATTAATAATAATAAAATAAATTAAAAACAAAGATTTGTCCTCTATCAGCAGGAGGCATGGTGAAATAGGAGCACGCACTTACATTCTCGTGGGAACAACACGCACGAAGTCAAATTGGTTCGGAAATACTTGTCGCCTATGGACATTCAATACCTTGGCTTGCGCGAGTGCGGTGCGGGCCTTTTAAGAACTGAAGGAACCTAAGTCGAATTGGTTCGGAATAATTTGGTCGTATTCGACTAATCTGTGACCGTTTTGTGTCACGTGACTGCTTCTTTATACAGATTACTCTATTTACATGGGCATGTCACTTTACAGGTACAGCCCGCGTTATATGTATTCCGGGAGGATCTACCCGCGTTATTTGTCCGGTACGGGCTACGTTTTAAGTACACCAACAGCGCATGCGCTTTACCAGGCGGCGTTGCGAACACATTACTTTCACTTGGAAGATATTTTTATTACTGGTAAGTAACAGGTACATACGTATTTAAAAATCTGCGACGCATTTGCGACATGTCGCTGTGGTACCAGATGAGGCTTTGTTAAAATATTAATTAACTAGCTGACCCAACAGACGTTGTCCTGTCTTAACTATGAATATTGATTTCGAATTGGTATAACTAACAAAAAAAATATTTCAGAAACAAACTGTTTATTATTCTAATGCTTTATGATATATGTACAACATTCTTTGTTTGTTTTTCTGGACATCAGTAAATAGAGTAAAACTATTGTATTCTTCGTACACCAAGTGTTATGTTAGTCTATCCAAACTTACCAAAGCACCATATTAAATTTAACTTTTAATGTTAGGCGTGATAGCTCTGAACTAACAGTGATGTGCACTAAGAAATTATTGTTAGTAATCATAAATGAATTATTTTATATTTTATCAATATAGTAACTCCGATCGAAGGATTTGTTTTAAACGATATTTTTTGACGATATTTGCAGCACGCATTCTGTCAATGTTATGTCAAACGCCTTAAGGTTACATCAAAAAAGTTTGAATTATAAAAGCGCTATGCACTGAAAAAAAAATTGCCATCTGTGGTGGTATTGATGTAGTGGTTAAGTATTCTTAAATTTTCTAATTTTCCGCGCAATTTTCTTATTTTTTTCTTTCATAAGTAAATGCTCCTGACAATAACACAACAAAAAAAGAATTAGGGAAATCGGTGGTCGGAAACCGTGACCAAGGGAAATAGGGATTCATTTATATATAGGTATATAGATTATAGATAATTATTTGTTAAAATATTTTCAAGCGAAGGTTTTTGGCGAATTTATTGTGTATGTATAAATACGTATTAGAAGGTCGGCAACACATTTGCCACATGCTAGTTTGGTATCACTATAAGGTAAGGCTTTTTTAACGAAATATATTTAAGCGAAGGTTTTTGGCGATAGAGAGCGAAATTATTGTGTATGTATAAATAAGTATTAAAAGGTCGGCAACGCATTTGTGGCATGCCACAGTGGTATCACTTATCATTAAGTACGGCTTTGTAAACGAAATACATATATTCAGGCGCATAAAAACTTTATCATAGGTTTAAAATATAGGCATGCTTTGGTTTTTGGCGATAATAAGCGAATTTATTGTGTATGTATAAATACGTATTTAAAGGTCGGCAACACATTTGTGGCATGTCACAGTGGTATCACTTATCATTAAGTACGACTTTGTTAACGAAATATATTCAGGCGCATAAAAACTTTATCATAGATTTAAAATATAGATATGCTTTGGTTTTTGGCGAAAATAAGCGAACTTATTGTGTATAACAATAAATATGTATTAAAAGGTCGGCAACACATTTGCGACATGCCAGTTTGGTATCACTATAAGGTAATGCTTTGTTTATGAAATATCAGCTCTGTTTGTTGCAATGCTCGTATCGTTTTTTGACCACAAAATTGTATGTAACAAATAAATGATTTATGATGGCCCGTGCGAAGTTGCTGGTCATTTATAACACATTTAACTTACCAAAGCCTTTAGAGATCGACAAAATCTAAAATTTTTGAAATTATACTTCTTTTGGCTTTTAGTAAATTTTTTCGATGCGCGCGCACACCGTCGCAAAAAACCGATACACTGAATATCTGTTCAAACGTCGGTAAAACAGTCTGGGCCGCTAGTTGGCGCTTGTTCTGTTTTATCGACAAATTGCATTGTCTGTCATGGCGTAGTGTTTTTCAGAGTCGTGTTTATTTAAACCAAAATAATGAATTCTATATGAGAAAACGCGTTCCAATGTGATAAAAAACATAGTGTTTATTGTAAAATATCATGATTAGTACATATTATATCGTTTCGATTGGAAGTGACCATTCAATTGGACAAGAAAATTGCAATTCAAAGAGGGAAACCTCCCTCTAAAGTGCTCGAAGAAAATGATTACCTCAAGATAGTATAACTTCTAGCGCGTGTACTACATAAGAACACACACCTTTTTTTGTAAATTTGCTCGCCATTTTGACAGAATATGCGAAAAAATTCAGCTTGTATCATCTAGGTGTATAACCGTTCTTCTAAATTAAGATTGCAATAACATCTGGTAATTTAAAGGCATGTGCTCCCTTCGAGCGACACCGCGTATAACGCCGCGTGACGAACCGGGCTTTTCCTACAACGGAGGAGGCGGCGCTTGCGCAGTACATTCGAAGCTGACAGCGCATCGTGTCACGCCGTACCGTATGAAGAGGGTCGCTATGTTGTTGAGAGATTTGGGATATGTTGATAGGTGAGTACAAACAAACCTTTCATCTTTTAGTCGATACTAACTCCGGGTAAATAAATACAGATAATACAACTATTTCTACAGCTGTGATACTTTTTGACATTCAACATTGATACTAATAATAATAATATGTTATTGATAATATTAAAATCAGTTCAGTAATTCTAAATTGATTACAAACAAAATAAGAGATAGATTCAGAGAAGGGGAGTCCTACTGGCTTACCTCAATAGGGGATATTTAGTCATAGTTTACTGAATATCATCCTAAATCTAATTGTGAATATTAATTATTTATTTACAACACACAAATGTACAGTATTAACAATATTTTTAATCTACACAGTAAAAATAATAATCCTAAATCTTAATTTAGAATAATTATGTTTTTTTTTCAGATGTGAACGCTTGCGGCTAACTCAGGTAAGAAAAGACCGCCTAAGACCAAAAAAACCGACGAAAAAACTACCTAAAATTGCATTAGGCCTTATTTAGCGTTTTTGTATGTACATTTCATGCTAAAACGTCAAAAGTTTATAGTTTAACTTCTGACATTTTCGCATTTGTAACAGTATACACTTTCGAAAGTGTCCAATAAAACGACAAAAAAAAACGAATAAAACGAAACAACGTAAAAGTACAATTTGTCATGAAATGTCGAATGTGTGCTTCTGACATTTTCGAAAATGTCCATAATAACTTATACGTAAAAGTACAATTTGTCATTAAATGTCAAATGTGTACTTCTGACATTTTCGTAACAGTACAATTTGACGTATTGAATTGTTATAGTTTGTAAATCAGCAAAAAAAATGTATGTATTCCATACATATATTTCATATAAATAACCTTTCAACTAAATAACTCTTAACTGAGATTATATGATTGACATGTCCAGTGTCGTTTTCCCCCTAAATTTGGCAAATACCGAGAACACGAAAATATATTTAATTTATATAATGTGATAGAAAGAATCTCATTTTAACGCATCCAAAATATGGGTCGATACAAATTTTCTACTCTAAAATAATTAGTTATTCGATAAATAATACAAAATGCACGGAAAGAAAACTAGGAATTTGTTGTCGCTGTTTTAAATTACGCTTGTTCATGGACAGGACATAATCGTAAAGTTGGTCTGGATTCTTTTACCATTAGTGTCCAATAATAGCGTGCTACAATTTGTCATACATAGTGTCAAAAATATTTGCCATACTTCTCAAATGAGTACATCTAACATTTTAGAAACAGTACAATAATCTACGGCATATTTTACAAAAATTTCCATCCAAAATGTATGACAATTGAAGTAAACATAAGTGTTACAAAAAAAATATTAAAAATACAATTAAAATATATACAAGATAAAATAAGCATACAATAGAATTGAATTGAATTGTCATAGGTAAAAAATTAATATAAACGACCCATATTTTGGATAATCAAGGTGATAGTTTAATTTAAGCATTTATCTAAGTTTAACCTAATCTCGTAATATCTGTGACCCTAGCACGACTAGTACAAATTTGTTTAAAAATTATAAACAATAGAAACTTATGAAAAGATAAATGCTTCTAATCTTGATTTGAGAGTAAGAAGCACTCCACCAATATTTTTCAAAAGGTAAAGATTATAACATTGTAGTACCTTCGTAATACGTTTACGAAACGCTCAGGAGTCCACGTATAGATCGTGCTAAGGGAAAAATTCTATTCGAGGATTTGAATCTCATTGCTTTGTATTAAGGTACATTTACTTATTGCCTCGAATCCTTATTCTAGCGAAAAAATTGTTAATAAATTATCATATATATTAATCCGCATATATTGTATATAAAAGTATTTTTATATAACATACTTGGATATATTTAATACCAGCGTCACTATTTGGTACTATCTATTGCAACGATCACTTATTGAGTGTTTTAGTACCGAACGATACAATAGCAGTTTAGCTTCATCCATGATATATATTGGAATTAAAAATCAAGCTATTTCTGAAGTAAGCGAGATAAACCTAAGGTTTCAGCGACTCTCATCCTTCAAGTCGTTTTCGATAGTCGATTCGATCCCGGGCTGTGCACCAGTGGACTGTCTATGTGCGCATTTAACATTCGCTCATACGAAGGAAAACATCGTGAGGAAACCGGATTGTCTTAGATCCAAAACAACAGCTTTCAGTCAGGCACAGAAGTTTATTCAACTACTTGCCTATTAGATTGACACGATCATGAATAATGTACATAAATTTATGGCTCACACCTAAAAAGGTTGTAGGCGCCAGTGGTTGGTTTTTTGTTTTATTTATGAAGTAATATTTGGCCTTTAGTAAACAAGATTTAAGCAGAAGCCCTAGAAATGTCAAGGTTTCAAGGGCATCGTTGAAAATTTCCAACTTATTATTTGCGTTTTAAATATCCATTGAATATATAAAGCAGCGTATTCCTTACACGGGCTGACGAAGTTCTAGTACCCAGTTTAAAACCCATGAGTGACGCTGGTATAGGTTTTAAATTTCGTTTTTCTAGTATTAATGAATAAACCTCCAATAGTGCCAACCTAGTATTTAGAACAATAGCATTGCGTCTCTGTAATAAACCAAATTGGTTAGCAACTAGCTGTTATGAGTGGCTTTTAAAATTTAAGTCCCCAAAGGACCGATTTCATTAATAGATTAGAACAACGAAACATTTTAATGTCTATGGGAGAGATGGAATACACTAAAATACAACATCATCATCGATGATGAATTCTGATGAATTCTGGCGTGTCTCGTCATCGTAAACACGCCAGAATTCATCAAAATCTGTCAATAATAAAACTACAGTGTTTTAGTGAATTTTAAACTTTCCTATAAGTAGTATTACTAACATAGAATATTTGAAAAACCTGTGGAAGTCAACGTACAAACAATAATAATAAATTGACTTGAAGGAATAACCCTATACAGCAATAGTTTCTTGTATACCCATTATTATCGTTATTTTAAAAATATGTATCATTCATGTTATGAATACAATAGTTAAAATCAGCTAAATTGTAAATAGCCACAATAAATCAATAGCAGGTTATTGGAGGTTATTCACCTTCCATATTTAACCTTACATGTCAATGACCTAGAGTCATTGAACTCATGTGGGTTTTAAACTTTGTAATATTGTTTAACGTTGAATTTTACAGGTCGTTATTAGTATTATTAATATGGTGTGATATCATTTCCTTCCATAAGGGAGTCGGGTGCCTTGATATATAAGTAATATTTGGATGGGGTACAACGTATCGTAAACATATATATGTAGAAATGCCATATAATGTCATGATTTATGCATATAGAAGTATATAGAGCGGGCATTGGGTTTGTGTCATATCTTTGTCTTTATGCTTCTTCACATTTAAATAAAAATATAGAACGAATTAACGCGAATTTAATGTGATGTCCGCTCTTCTATTGATTATAATTAAATATTTATAAATGTATGTATATTATTAATTCAGTATTAAGACATTAACAAATTCTATTTGTGTTTTGCATAATTTGCATAGTGATGAGTTTTTGATAGTGTAATCGCTGTAAGAGATATCTCGTATCTAATTTCAAAGAAAATAGATTTTAGTGTGACGCATTGGCGCATTTAGCACTGTTATCGAAGCGGTTCTAGATTCACATAAGTAATACTATTTCTAAAGGAAAGGTTAATGTGAAGTAACACTTGCGTTTATGGTCGTTCTTTAAACTTTTCTGTACATATTCGCTAAGAACAGTTTACCGTATTTAACGAAGAGCGACTCTAATCATCGACAACCAGTCACTTTCCGAACGGCTTGATCTTGACTTTGTGTAGAGATGTGGATCTTCTCTGCATCTTCTACTTTACCTAGATCAATACTACCCCAGCTTACTACGGAGACTACGGATGGTTAGTCATCATATTATAGTCATATAACCTCGACGTCCGTCCTTCCACAACTGAGCTTGGGGGCGGTATCACTTAACGAGGTGAGCCTCCTGCCCGTTTGCCCCGCGTTCTATAAAAAAATAGAAAATGTGTTTGTTTGTTTTTTATTGGATTTGCTACTGTGAAATTGTCGAACGTTATTTTTTTTTAAATCTCATTTTGCGTATCTATAGGCCATGAGCTAGAGCATTCTAAATACCATTTGATTCACTGATATATTATGATATTTGACAGCTTTTTTTTTTGTTTCAATTTTATTTTCTCCCCCTTTCCAGATAAAAACTCACCGTGAATCAAGAATGTTTATTATTTACAAGTATCTCCGATTGGTCGTTGGCGGACGATGTTGAGGTATTTTGGACCACCTATAACTCTAATGAATCTCTATTCTAAGATATGTATGTAATGTCATCTCGAAAGAGTTGCCAACATACGAAACCAGGCTAGGCACCTTAATCTCTTCGTGTATGTTATGTTTGCTATATGCAGTGCTTGTTACATTAAATATTGCATTTTATTTTTCTTGTACTAGTGTATCAGTGCCGAGCGTTGGCAATAGATCTGAGTAATCTCTCTGTAGGGATAAAAAAAGAATCTCTCAGCTGAAACTTCAACATTTAAAATTTTTTGAGTCGTCAGAGCTGAATTTCTCTTCCACATTTATTCAGACAAATAAGAAACAGCTGATCGGAAGCATCATCTTGTCAATAGGTTCCGGGTTTAAATATTACTAATTGCAGTTTACTGTTTAGAAAAAATGGTTTGACTACATCTAGAAATCTGGGAATCTGGTTCAAGGACGCTTAAAGATCGTCATACTAAAGTGTTCGAAAATTTGAGTTCAAATATTGTAGTAAAATGTTTTAAGATTCTTTTTTTTATATCCTATGGCAATTGGGAGTGGGCGTGGTTCACAATCATGCAATTATGGCTCTCGGTAGAGGTTACTTTATAATTTAATTGATTATATAGGTTGTGTTTTCTCATATAGACTGTTAATTGCTCAAAATATAAATTTTAATACGATTGGCTAAGTTGATCGAACATTTAAATAGTACAAGGGTTATTGACCTTTATAGGAAATTAAATAAAAGTGGAAGTAAACTAAAAGTAGCAAAAATTCAATAAATTTATCTAAGACGGTTGTGACATAAAATGTCTATAAAATGGGCGTTGCATTTTTAAGCGATGACTTAGAAAGCTTTCATTCACAGACTACGTACGTGTAGGTTTGTCAATTGTCTAATCATTTGTGGTTGTCAAATTTGATATTTAAAATAAATCTGTGGTATTTAATAGGCATAATTTTTTACCAAGTTTAATGTACTAACTTCTTCATTAAACATTTTCACGAACATTGTATTACTTTGTCAAACTCTTGGTACCTTCTCCCAAATTAGACAGGCTACTTCTAATTAATTTGCGATATTTGTTTTAAAATAAGTGTTGTTTGATGATTTGCTATTTTAAAAGAGTACCAAGAGTTTTTTACGCCGGCTTTTTCTCTCGGCCTTCACCCTCTGTCTTCTTTGCCGATGAGTGGGGAAGCCTACTAATTCAAATTTAATGACGTGGAATAAGTGATACATGTATCTTATGTTCCATAATAAACATATTTTATTTTATTTTATTTAAATTCGTTTAATTCGGACTTCGGTCAACTTCGTAAAGTGCGAAGGTAACTTCGTGATAGAAAGGGTTTTTTGTGAAGTTAGATTAGCCTTTATGAAGCGTCATGATGAATTCAAGTGTCTCCAAATCTTAAAGATCATGATTACCCTTATATTTGCAGTCAGTATAATGATACCAGGGATGCCAACTAGGGGGTTTTCCCCCCAAATTTAAGGGGAATCAAGATGCTCTAGGTTTTTAGGCGGTCATTTATTTAGGGGAATTTTTCGGTGGTACAAGAATTTTTTTAAACGTTTCTATACAACATATTAACCTAACCAACTAAACCAAATATAATGTGTTATTTCTCCATGGATGAAATAACAGCTATTAATACTTCAATATATTTTTAATTGTTGAGGGTACAACAAAATCTTTTGGGGTTTTTAATCGAAATTTAGGGGTATTTGAAGTTGGTGCTAGGAGGAACATTATGTAGGAGTTGGCATCATTATAGTCGATCTACGTTATCCACTTGCTACGCACCGCCATTTTTGGTCCTTCGGGTCAGATTTCTGTATTGAACTCTATAGGCGAGATACCGGTATGTCAAGTTTTTAAGTAAGGGTATTTGGTGTAATCTGATCCCCTAAGTCTTTTGACAATTTTACAATTCGCTTTTGACAGACAAGTGTACAGGAATTTCAAATTGATTTAATTTTAATTATTTTTCATATGTAATATATTGTTTTGTCGCTAAATTAGTTACTTTAAACATTGGCGCTTCATAGGGCAAAAATTATTAGTTTTATTTATATATTTTGTATAACGTTTGACAATTTTTCTCATATCTCAACTAATCCATGACTTATTTCACTTCTAGTTAATTTAACGTATCGGTTACCCATCAAATTCCTAAATTGACGGGTGTTGCTTAACCTACTTAATCGGTTTATTGTTGTTTTGGCAGCAAAATTTGCTTTATTGATCTGATCGCAGTGGTTTCAATATAACAGGTACCCATCAAGTGCATGACCACGACAAGTGTTGCTTAACCTTAATGATTTCAGTTCTGCTAAATAAAGTTATTGTTTCCTATTAAAATCATTCCTCTCGAACGCCTTATAGAGATTTTTTATATAGAAAATGTTATTATTTGCGTTGTAATGAATAATTAAGAATATGATTATCTCGTAATTAAATATTTTATCGGATTGTAAAAATTTCTATCCACAGTTTAAATAATATTTGTAAAATTCGCGCCAAAATCTGTGAATATTTCAAACGTTTTATCTGTGTTAGTTATTTGTGATTTAGCGCCAAAACAAGTACTAATTTGTTGTATTGTTGATTTTTAGTCTGTGGACATATGAAAAGAATTTGGCGCCGATTTTTTATAATAAAGTACCAACTCTATATTTGATTAATTTATTTTGTATCCCCAAATAAAGTTATATGCATGATAAATCAAGTTTTAGTTTTAAAATAGTGCTGTTTTGTTGTCGTGTGCCGAAAAAAGATGGTTATATGAATGATCTCACAATATGAGGGAAAGAGAAAAATCCACAACTACAGCGAGGTATTTTTCAGTGCTATGTAGCATTTAGCATGAGCAGTATGGGCCTGGTGGCTCCAGCGTGCGACTCTCATCCCTGAGGTCGTAGAAACCCGGCTGTGCCCAACCAATGGACGTGTCTATGTGCACATTTAACATTCGCTCGAACGGTGAAGGAAAACATCGTGAGGAAACTGGCTTGCTTTGACCGAAAAAACCGGTGTGTGTTTCAGGCACAGGAGGCTGATCACCTACTTGTCTATTAGATACACAAATGATCATGATAGATACAGAAATCTGAGTCACAGACCTAAGAAAAGGTTGTAGTGCTGTTTTATTTTTATATTTTTTTGTACCATTTTTTATATTCGTCTTGTAGAGAAAGAAATGAATTTGGTCCCGATCTCCTGTAGCTATTTCTAAAAGCGAATGGCCCGGTATGAAAGGATACTGTATCAAGTATCTTCACAAACCAACGATGGGCGTGGAGAGGCGGACGCAACCGCCGCATCGCATGTCGGGAAGCGGATCAGAGTCTGCTGTTACCGCATCCCGCCCAAGGCGATTCTAAGCCTTGGGGTTTTAGAGGACATAACCCTCCCGTACTAAACAGACGCGCCGCGGTATGGTATGCGCAATGTATTTCCCCAAGTAAAAAAATACAATAATTAAACTACTGTTCTACAAAAATCCTTTTTGAACGTAGGACAGGTTGAAGATATTGTTTGTTAGAGTTTTGAATGGTAAGTGAAAATTTTGCTTTTAAGAAAGTGTCTCCTTATGTATTATTATTTTTTAATTCCTCCAGTTAGCGGCAGTTAAATTATTTTAGGTTAATTTAAATGAATTGTATTTTGACGTAGGATTAGTATTCCGCAGTCTAAGAAATGATAATGAAATAAGTCTTGACAGATTCCATTTACCTTGTTTTTTTTTATTTCATGAACTGGATACAAGTCTATTGGCCGAAATATAAAATTCTTTCGTTGGTTAAGAATTGCTTCTAAAGTCCTACCTGTAAAATAAAAAAACCTGCTCTAAGGGCGCTAAATTAACGAATATAGCAACAAATAAAAAAATGTAAATTGATGACGTTTGACAGATTCCTTCAGAGTTTCTGACATTGCGAGAAAGCATTATTTCTGCACACTTAAAAGTCAAAATGTTACCATATTTTCCCCGTCTTTAAGTTCTTGTCAAGATGCCACACGAGAATTCCATATTGTGATGTATGTATTTACAAAATAAAATATATTAATAAAAGTTGTTTTATTTATAACTAAATGCCTGCCTCATTAAATACATACACTATCCAGTACCAATATATATATATATCTTTCCTCCCTGATTTTGTTACCTTGGGACGTGTTTAAGTGTACAGCCAATTAAAGATTTAAGTTGCCGCCTAGTAGGTGACCCCAGAGCAAGTGCTTACAAGGAATAAGTATCGTTAAGGAAATGCCAGCATTATACCACTCCCACAGACCACAGTTAACTATAGGACACGATTATTCAATATGGCAACCCTGTTTAAAAAAGAAAACAATGTATATAAAATATATTTAGACCAAAAACAATATATGTGTACAAATAATTCTGTTTACAATTTAGACAAATTAAACATTTTAAATTTCATTTTGGTAATTATTTGCAACCAAAATCACAGATATAAGAATTTATATATTTTAGCATGAGTTGTCTTGCTCTCCCGTAAAACGTCTCGCGTTCGAAGATATTCAACAGTGTCAGATCTCTTGACAGGAAATTCGCCGTTTTTGGATCTGTGAATGTCAATAAATTAAGCATAGATAATTAGTTAAAAAATAATCTATAAATTCCTACATATTTATATTGTTAAATAAATTATTATAAAGCGGTATTAATATCGCTTGCCCCGGGGAACAAAGTCGTAAACGCAAAATCTATTTTTTCAGGAAAAAAAAAGGTACTTTTACTAGGATACTAAGTACATTGCATATTCAAAGATATATTTCAAAAAAAGTTATCATTACAGTAATTTATCTAATAAGACTGAAGAGTTTCACTGTTGAAACGTAATTACGGACGACACAGTAACCACACATTACGAGTGCCCTCGTTTTGACGAATATCTAGTACGTAATAATGTATTACCACTCTTAAACTGTAGCAACACATAGCTGAACCTAGGACCTCAGAGATGAGAGTAACACACTGAAGCCACTAGGCCGACACTGCTCCGCTTGGACGCTAGCCGTGAAAGAGGAGCAGAAGTTACTAAGGACAGAATGCAAAATCCTGGAGCCGACAAAGCGGGAGGACTGGTCACGGAGACTCCGAAAAAATGTCGAAATAAAGAAAGAAATAGCTCAGTCCATATAGGCGAATACAAGGCCTATTGACTACATTGGCACCATGAGCGCATGGGCCAAGATAGGGCGGTGAAGGAGGTTCACAGAGCCACTCTAGTGGTCGAAAACCTCTAGGTCGGCCTTGGAAGCGCTGGTAGGCAGAGTGGAGGAAGACCTGCTGCAGCTGAAAGCCAGCAACAGGCGGGAGATAGCACAGGACAGAGAGCGCTGGTAGATTCCCATGTCGGAGACCAAGTCACTTTTTGAGTCTCAGAGCCAGCGGAGTAAGTAAATGTCTAATGGAGGTAATAAATCACACGTAAAACTTTTGGATTTTTGAAGAAAATTGGTCAAACTGCTGGATTAATTCTCCCACCATTATGATGAACATAGGCTGTAGAATTTAAAAAATGAGAGAAAAGGTAACCCAAATTGTCAAAAAATCCCTATACGTACCTACGCTGTGGAAAACATTGACAACACAGCAATGTACTACAGTGTTAATGAATATCTGCAGAAAAGTCGACTAAATAAAATTAAAATTTCGCTAGTATAACCCAAATAAAAAAAGACTAATAAAGACTCCTATGTGCTGCGGAAACTATTGACAAAAGCACAATGTACTACAGATTTATAGTATAAATAGCTATAATAAATAATTAAATAATTTTACTTTTTAAAATTTCCATCTTTGATTTTCTTACTCGTCAGCTGTCACTTACCATTCGGATTGATTTGAAAGATCGGCAGCGCTGTCACATCTGCAAAGGTGTACGCTGAGCAGACGTCCATGTTGATGGCATTGCGTATGTTCATTGTTAGACGAATCAAAGCTAGAATAATTATTAAACCTCTGTAAACTGCAACTATATACAGCTTAGACTTAATTATAGAAAGCTATCGTGGGAAGCACAAAAAAATTGACACATCTTACAATCCTTGGCCACAGATATCTATTTCGTGATAGAGCGTGGAACGTGACACACGTTGGCCGGTTTTCTCACAATGTTTTCCTTACTAACGAATAAGTTATAAAGCCCATCGATGCAACTTTATAGGAGGCTCGTCTGATGTTAAGTGATACCGCCCATGGACACCACATTGCCAGAGGTCCCACAAATGCCTTGCCTTTTAATTAATACGCTCTTTGAAGGACCCTAAATCAAATTAAGTTGGAATAATTCAGTGGGCTGGTTCCACTTAGTGGTTGCGAAAAACTGCCTTTTAACGCTCAGTTGTGAAAGCGACGTCAAGGTGATACGGGTGGTATTTTATATTCTGCCTCGACGTCTGATGAAACTCAGCTTATCTTCTAAATACATACGATAGGTCCCCTTATAATAATATTCAAAACTGGTGTCTTCAGCCAAGGAACGATGCTGTAGGAGTATCCTGGTCGATTCGAATGCGAGGAATGGACAGTCTATTGCGATAACAAGTACGTCCGTCTTAGTGTTATAGCTGAAATTAATTTTATCATGAAGTAGGGGGACGTTTGTAGGGGGTAATCTCTGGTAATGAACAGATTTTGATATTTCTTCGATTAGATAATGCTCAGCGGGAAATACTTCGATACCCGTACCGACAGGATGGTATACTGTTCCTCCAACCTAAAGGGTGAATCCTCTACCAGCGAAAGCACAGACTGGTCCGAAATGTCGAGACTCGAGATGTAAGCTCAGCGGGAAATACTTCGTTTTAATGCGTGACGTCATCCTTCTAAATGTACTATGTAGAGGCATGTGGTAGAAGGTGCTCTTCCAACTTAGAGGGTGGATCGGGGATCCTTTACCAGCGAAAGCACAGACTGGTCCGAAATGTCGAGATGTATTATATATAATATGGTCAGTGGGAAATGTTTCGATAGCGCGTTTTAAGGTGTGACGTCATCGCAGTGTTTTTAGTCGCTTATTGTAGATGTCGCTACTATACATTATAGAAATCTAAAAAACACTCAAATCATTTAAAATTAGTCTAGAAACACTCAGATAATACTTACAAGAATTCCGAGATCTGGCATTTATTATGATTTCCAATTATCAAGTTTCTATCTATATATGTTGAATTGAAGTATGGGGTATGAAACACGAAAGTTGGTATCGTGTACTGAGTGGGAATTGAACCTCGGACATTCGGATTACATCCTGAGTTCAATCGGAAAATTTCTCGCAAACATGGGGTGTTCGAAAACTTGCACGGCCGAACTATGTTTGACGGACCTATAAATATACTTTTTACATAAATCAAGTTAATTTAAACACATTTATTATATATACAATTGATTTTTAAGGGCCTCAGATTTATGTATCTATTTCGTGATAAGCCTACTTTAACCTACTTTTTGGGTCTAAAGCACGTTTCCTCACGATGTTTTCCATCGTACGAGCGAATGTTAAATGCGCATTAAAAATCCATTGGTACACAGCTGGGGTTTGAACCTCAGAAATGAGAGTTGCATTGAAGGCACTAGGCCAACACTACGTGTTAATTATGAATCTTAAATATATAATATTTCGATTAAAAACAGTCGCCGACGAAATTAAACTCCACGATAGTATTAGGATTATTTTTATGATATTAAACAGACGAAGACATGAATAATCTGTGACCGTCATGTCATGTGAATACTACTACTTTTTTTTACGGTTTTTTCGTTAATTCTTTTAAGCTGGATTAAATTTAGTTAATTCTTAAAGTAGCCAAGAAATCTCAAACAAGGCTCGACTGGCGATAGGGAAGTGCTTATCACAGTAACATACAGTTGTGAATGTTGGATGTGGCAGAGGAAGAATGAAAGAATAAATGCCAAGGAAGAGCTTGTTAAGAAGAATGTGTCGTGTATTGCGGGATAGGATCAGTAATGAGCAGTGTGGGTTAAAAGAGGAGAAGATGAATGACACGAAAACAAGTAGGATATACGAAGCAACCGTAGATGGTGAGGTTTTGGACCAAATCCACGAACTAGGAAGAGATAAGTTAAGTATCAATCCATGACGTACTAGAGAAGAGACAGGTCAAAAGTACCCCTAACGAGCATGGTGAATTACAAATGGATGAGGCGAGGTCAGGACTGTACTTACAGTCTCCACGTATCTCCACTTGGAGATACGTGGTCTCTGCCTACCTCTTCGGGTAATAGGCGTGAGATCTCTTGTCTCTTTCATATTGTGTTAACGATAAAATGGAGGGACAGTGGGACCCATTGACACTTACCAGCTAAACACGCTGTAATACAAGACAGGAATAAAAGTATTGCCAACATTATGGTGTTACCACAGTGAAACGAATGAACCAACTGATATTTTAAGTTGAAAATTAATTATTTATATGTTGTTTAGTCAGTTGTGTAAACGTATGCTTTTGTTTAAATGAACAATTACAATTATTAACGAATATTTGTTTCTAGAAATTCTTTGTTATAATTATGGACTACAAAAATAACGAATACAATAAAATATTTTGTATAAAAATATATTTATTTGGTGGCTTCAATGTGTCTTTCATCTGAGGTAATAGAAACATTCGACCCAACACGATGGCGTGTGTCAGGCACAGGAGACTGATTACCTACTTGCCTATTAGATTGAGAATCATAAATCAGATACCCATCTGAGGCCCAGAGTAAAAAAGGTAGCCCCACTGGTTTTATATCAATCCATAGAAATAATGCGTATACATATAATTAAAAAATACATTATATTTTACAACCCGGGATAGTAGACCTGTCATGTCAAGTATTTCTGAGATACAACTTCTTGACTTACTAGAGCCTTCGGTCCAGGTAGACTGGTTGATTATCTTCCCCTTAGGTTGGAAGACCAACTTCCTGACATGGTTCACGTCATCCTTTAAAACGTGCTATCGAAGTATTGCCCGCTGAGTTTGTACACAGTCAAGGGGTAGGAAGATCATCCCAAACCGTTGGTCCTTGTCGAGGTCCCTTACTTCATGCTTCGCTCGCTCCAGTGAGCTTCCAGCCCTTCAGGCGAATGAAGACCCCGCGACGGCCCAAGCCGATGTCCGAGTCTCGCAGGAGTAGACCATTTACAGCGTCAGCTCCCCGTACCTGCCTCTGCTGGCGCTCTTATACTGTTCTACAGTACCCAAAAGGATATATGTATTAGTTTATTTTAAATACTTACTTGGTCAAGTATTACCAATTAGAACGAAGAATCAATGTTAAGGGCCTAGACGGGCCCTTTATTCACGAAAATGTATAGCTGGAAGGGAGCCAGCATTTTCGGCTAGACAATGAAATACTCGGCATTATTTTAGTATGGCTAGATATATCCCAATGCAAAATATTGCCAAATGTTTTTGTATGTCCGATGAATGTTTAGTGTCCAAGCCGTATTGTCGCTTTGCAATCGAAAATACTGCAATATTTCCTAAGTGCGTCCCTTTTTCTTGCTAAAAATCGTAGAGTTATAGCTAATCTTGTAACAACATGAATAGCTTTTCTCATGTTAGTATCGTTGGTCCAATCTTGTGAATAATGTGATCAAACTTTTTGACATTCGTGTAAAGTTTTTAAATAATTGTCTTAATTTCAGACTTAAAATACTAATATATTACGCCTATTGAAATAAGGTCGAATGCTCATTTTTCTCAGTTTTTTTTTGTTGTGACTGCTTTTAAAACAATGTAAGCTGCAACGCGTATGAGTTCGTCCGCCATTGCAGCCAAGCCATGTATGCAGACCGGGTAAAGACAAAATAATGAGCCATATACCTACTGTTGCCGATATAAATTTTTCAGCCATATGCTGCATTAAGTCTGAGTTTACGGAGGTTCTTAGTGAAATAAGTGCTATCGAAGTAAGTCATGATGTGGAATGTGTATACTGGGTGATTTTAATGCACATCCTCAGGAATTATTCTATAGGGAACTGCTTAGCTTTTGCTCTGATCAGTCGTGGTTGTGTGCAGTTAAAAAACTGGGTATCTCTTTGAGTAATTACACTTTCTTTAGTGAGGCTCATGGAACGAGACGACATTTGTACTAACATTATGATGGATTATTTTATCTGAACAAATAAATAAATAATAATAATTAAAATGTGTTATGTATTTTCGGGATATAGTTGGCAAAAAACTCCAATGGCATCATGAGAATTTTCCCAAGCATTTAAAATCTCGGAAATTAATTGAATGCTGTGGAGCGACCACTTGTAAAACCTGTCCCTATTGATGAAATGTTTTGCAAGTAAAACAGCCCACGACTTAAAAATCCTTTTATTCATAACTATACATAATATTAAATATTAAACTGATGTTGAATCGAGCAAGCTAATAACATTAAATGCAAACCGGCGAATAGAGGTGGGTTAACAATGACAACTGTCAACTGTAATCTGTCAGTGTTGACGGGTCGTTCATAAATTAAAGATCTAAGATCCGATTAGAAGCTTGACTGGCTCTACTAAAAAACTTCACGTTTCCGACAATTTACTTTTGCAGAGGACTTTGATTGATCGCTGTCATTTGTCATCTGTTAGTGTTGACGGGTCGTTCATAAATTAAAGATCTAAGATACTATTTGAAGCTTAATTATATCTACCAATAAACGTCTAGTGTCTTCGTCAATTTACTTTCGTAGAGGATTTAAACCTTCCTCAGTCACTTGCCATTTGTCAAGTTTCCCACCTCTACCGTAGTAGAATTGTCCCTATGGTGATTGACAATATCTAACATATAAGTTGTAATACACACAACGCGCCAAATACATAAATTGTAATATATAATTCCGTTTTCTAACAAATCTAGATTGCGATGAGATTCTCATTTGAATATGGGATCCTTCATTCATCAGCTTACCAGAAAAATAAATTGATAGGCGTTTTTTTGTCGCCACCATGCGCTGGTTAGAAGAGAGTATATAGCGAAGGTCTTATTGCCTGCATCTCTGTCTTATTGTCAGTATGGTCTTTTCCCCGCTTCAGTTTAGTCAAATGCACGCCCCAGTATGATCTATTGCCCGCCCCATAATGGTCGCTTCAGTTTATAGTTTACTATTAGAATACTGTTGTTTTAATTCCATATAGACACGGAGCATTAATGTGTTGTCTCTGGTAAGTTGATGTATGAAGGATTTCTTGATTAGGCAATAATTAACTCGAATTTAAATTACAAAAAGCTGTTTTTAACAACTTAAACGAGAACACATTAAATTCCAATTAAATACAAAAATCACAATACTTTTTTATCGGATTAAAACGGTAATAATTGTCAACTACCGTCACTACTTTTTACTGGGGTAATCTTATCTTGAAATACACATTTATCAGACGTTTCACGCAATTTTCAACATGCATGGTCACATATTGGGGTTACAATTCCAGAAAGTTGAAAGAACGAAGCCTTGACAGCACCACGTAGTATAAGATATGCATGGTCATTCCACAACAATGACCATGCAAGTCATAACACAATGAGTAGGTTCTTGTGATAATATCCAATGTTTTACGCACTCGACGGCTTGCATGGTCAAGAGTGACAATGTATTGCGTATACGTGTAATTCCAACCGTCCCACAAGCTCATTCAGTGGCTCCATATAAAACTTAATATCCGCGTTTTAATCCGGTAAATATTTTTTTAAATAAGAAAATTACAATAGTTGCTTATATTACAATTTATATCAACTAAGCGACCGAAGCTATCTACAGTAAAGGTGACATACATACAAACAAACGTCGCTTAGAGCAAAGCAGACTTCAATATTTAACATTCCGACAGTCATCAATTATGACAAATGTCATATGAGACTGACAGATGTCATTATCCGACATTATTTATGACATGACATTTAATACTGATAGTAGTCAATATGCGACATCAATTGTGACATCTGACGTATATGCTACATCTTTTATGACAATTAAGACTGACAGTTGTCATGATGAACATCAATTATGACACCTGACATATAAGACTTTGACAGTTGTCATTGACATATTTTACCTTACGTTGCTTTAAACAAGTGTTTTATTGTGGTTTAAACGTCATAATCGCGTTATCGTATTAATAATACAGTGTAAAATAAGTATAAAAAAATACATTTACATCCAGTAGCAAATGACCTGATGTGTCAAAGCATTTCGCAAAGCGATTAAAAGTAATGAAATATAAATTAATATAAAATAGGGAGATTTTATATACGTTAGCAAATGACTTGATGCATCGAAAATTTATAAGCTATAGATTTATCATCATCAGTTTTTATTTTCATCATTTATCATCAACTTTACAGACTTACAGACGGTAACAAATGGGTTAAATCAACAATAAAAAAATCAATGGACGATTTTACAAACAGTAACAAATGACCTAATGCATGGTGACAGTTTTACAAAATAATAAGGAACTACTTTAATAGACCCAAGATTATACAGACGCTATCAAACGACCTGATGCATAAATTTAAATATAATATTCCTTTTTAGACATACGTTATCAAATGACCTGGTGCATAATTTTAAATAGATTCATTACTATACAGACGCTATCAAAAGACTTGGTGCATAATTTTAAATAGATTCATTATTATACAGACGTTATCAAATGACCTGATGCAACTTTTTAAATACCAACATAGTTCATATCTCTTAAAACATGAAATTCTTTCATTACACATAAAATAAAAATTAATTATTGAAATCTGCCTTACAGTAAAATTAAAACAAAAAATTTGGTTTTATTCCTCAACATTCGCTTCGATGTGTTGCCCTAATGGGGGTATGGGGCAGACATAGTAATAAGCCTTTTGTGCCTGCTCATCTTCATTGTCTTTTAAATGAAGACCGCATGTAGCACATAAAAAGTATTTTTTTTTAATAACAATCATGATAAAGTCATATTTTGTGAGGGTAGTTTCAAAAATCATTGAATCGAGCAAGGTAGCATGTTTTATAATTGCCGTCTCCCTTTATAGATATATAATTATCATTATTGAAACTGTTTTGTTAAACTGATGATTTAATCTGAGTAGAATCTTACGTCCCATACCCCAAATTAGGGATATATATCTGTCGATTAATTTGACCAAAAGCCACAAAATGGCCATACTAGATTATATTGCTCTATAACCGGAACCTACATTAAATATAGCACTAAAAATCGATACAAAATCACCCATCCAAAAACAAAATTCTACAATCGTCGCTTAACCATAGTAATGGTATAGATTAGCTTTTATTACATTTATACAGAAATGCTGTTTAGTAGAAAATGCTTTTTAAAATTTTACGTGTATATGATATAAAAAAGGTAAACTTTGAGGTCTGGGCGTCAGATTTCTCTATTATTGGGCAATTAGGTCAGCTGTGCCTGACAATAGGGCTGCCAGTATTACGATGATTTCCCCCTTACAAACACAGACAATTTAAACCGGGGTTGGAATGAACTCAGCGATGAGAGTTGCATGGTCAAGACATTAGACACGTTGAAATCACAAAAAACGTTTGATGAAAAGTTGATCAAACTTGTCAAAAAAACTCACGAAACCTTTTCAAAAATAAAAATGTTTCGTGATATGTACGTATGTATGTACATAAAAATGTGTTTGTTTGTTGTGTTTACATTTGTTTAGTTTTCATAGGTGACCATGCATGACAATTAAATATTAAAATAATCTAAATTATCTGTCCCAGCATTGAGCATTGATTGACACACACAATAATTGTTAATAGTAGAACTGATATTTAAACAGTTTCTCAATGTTATGTCGAATTAACCGTGCTGCATGGTCACTCATTAGTACCAACTAAGAAAACGTTTCATTTATGTCAAAATCTTGACATACGGTTATTACACCGCTAAACATTGACACGTGTGTTATTTTAATATTAATTTAAAAATAAGAACAACTTAAAAATATATTTTTTATAGGAAATACCTATACATAATGACGGGTTAAAACATGAAAATGTTATCCATAATTTTAATTTGATACACCATGGCTATTAGAAAGTATGAAAAATAGTGTTTAATTAACGAAAATAATCTATATAATATACAATAGTAAAATAAAATGTAAAAATTAATAATTGAAAAGTGTTCGTCACGTGACACGTGTCACAGATTAGATAAACATAAAGAAAGTGTTTTGATCGAGATAAGTATGTGTAATTAAAAAAAAAAAACAATTAACACGTAATAAACTTTTGTTTACAAGCATGTTACGAATTAATTTTTAATTTGTGTTTTTGTTTAATCTAAGAACGATAACACGTAAACAGAGTGGCGTAGAGTTTTCCAGTTCTTCTCTTCCGTTCTACGCCCTTGATTTGAGAACTGGCAGTAAATGTAAAATAAATGTTCATATATATATTGACGTTCATAAGTGTACATTTTGTCGCGAAACGTTACGTAAATCAAAGAAAAATGTAAAGTAATATTTGCCCCATGGTCCATAAGATGTGGAATTTTTAAATAACCCATTTCGTTTACCCTTTTTTAAATTTGTGTCTGTACTATTAAAATATTACTTGTCAAATAATAAGAAAAAATATTTTCGATTACTTTATTCAGGTTCGATTCTTGGCAAAACAAAAAATCATATACACGTAAAACTTCGCGCGTTCGCAGACACATAAGTACCCTTACATAATTTTAATGACCAAAGAAGCTAAACACAAAGGTCAATTTATTAAAAGCGTTGATATTAAAGAACATATATGGTATAACATTGGGTTAGATCAAATTAGGTTATATGTGGTAATTAGGGTGTTAAATCGCAACGCATGGTCACGGGGGTCGGGCTCATGCAGCTCATGAAAGGTCACCTAAGATCAACCGGGTCACGTGTCGGTCTGCGTGGCGCGCGTGGCCAGCCTCTGCCGACGCTACGACCCACCGCCTTTTGTCGCTTCTTCCTTTTGCTTGTTTATGTATACCTGGTGGGTGAATTAACATTTTTGATAATATTAAATATAGGTATTACTATTAACTACTGCAACTAATTCAAGTGTTCAATTGGCCTGAGAACAGTACTAATTATTAATTTATTAAATTTCACCACATATAATGATATATCTACAGTATGTTACAAGCTTGTATGTATGTTGTAGCATTGTTTTTACTGTGGGGTGCTGTTGCAGAGGTTCAATCCATATTTGTGCTGCAGAAGCGGGCTGTTCGGGGTATTTGTTGTCTTTCTCCGAGGGAGTCGGTACGGAATAAGTTTAAGGAATTAAATATTATGACACTATCTGGTCAAAATATTCTTGAAGCCTTGTTGTATGTCCAAAAAAATATAAACGATTTTAAAACAAATGGTAACTGTCACCAGTATAATACGCGAAATAGAACTTATTTGAGTGTACGACCAACCAGGCTCCAAAAGATAAACCACTCCTTATATGGAAATTGTATTCGTTTTTACAACAAACTCTCAAGCGAAATTAGAGAATTATCACTTAATAAATTCAAAGCTCTTGTTAAACGTAAATTAATCAATAAAGCTTTTTATAAATTTGACGAATATTTAAATTATCCTAATCCTTGGGATTGATTTGCTCCAGTTCAAACATTTTGTATGGCTCAAAACTTAGCGATTAAAAGAGTGGCGTAGAGTTTCTTGCCAGTTCTTCTTACCCGCTCTACGCCCTTGACTTGCGAACTGGTAGTAAATGTAAATTTACAATTAATTTAACTTCTTTTTGACGTTCATAAGTGTACTAATTTACCTATAGGTTATTTATGTAATAAAGTTATTTTGAGTTTGAGTTTGAGCTATATTTTCTAAAATAATGTCAATTTTGGTATGTTACAATAAATAATAAAAATACAAGTAATCTGAATGAATTTTTTTTTGCAGGGTCAGATATGTGCCTCCATTTTTTTTAACATGTTTGTCATTATAAATAAATATAAAAATTTAATTTTACTCCCACTTTTATAATCGATATTAGTAGTGTAATAAGCTGTATGAGCACCTTTGCATGGTCACCTATATATTACAACTGTTTTCGTATATTTAATAAAAGTACTCACATCTAATAACCGCAGCTTGCTAACAGATAGATATTTGTAGTAGGGCTGCATTCTCTCTTTGCCGAGTGCAAATGTGAACGCCACCATACTGAAGATGGCCGCTTTGCGCACGGCTGAGTTTTGGTGGTCAGCCAGCTGGAAATCAAAAGTCACGTAAGGTCAAACAAATTCACTAAAAGTCAACAAAGACATGAATGTCACGACAAGTCAATTAAGGTCAGGAAAAGTCAAAGGTAAATGATTTTAATAGATATTACATTTGTTTATTAGTAAATCTTATATAATATAAAATTCTTGTGTCACAATGTTCATTCCCATACTCATACGGCTCGACCAATTCTTATGAAATTTTTTATGCACATTCAGTAAGTCTGAGAATCGGTCAACATCTATTCTTCATCCCCCTAAATTTTTGTTTTTATTTTTTATACAGCATACAAAAATACATACAACCCTTAATTTTTACCCCTTTACGATCAACCCCTTTTTCTATTATAGTAGATAGTTATTTTTATTAAACTAAAAAAAATGTTTCCTAGAAATAATATAGATGGCAAAACGACGTGTGCCGAGTCAGCTAGTATTTAATAATAATTACCTGTCCCACGCCCTCCATTATAGGTGAAACGATTTCATCAGACAGCTCTGAACTTCGCACCTTCGCAACTTCCGCGGCTAACTTCAGAGCGCACAGTGATGAAGGGTATCCTTTGGTTCTTATAACTGGTTTTAAGAGGGCTAGAACCTGGAATAGGACAAAAATATGTTCAACATAAAAAATTTAATTTTTTAATTTTTAATAAATTAATTCATTAATAATAATGAAACCAGACTTTTAATCCCTTTCTGAATTAAACATATCTCATGTTTAGATTTTTATTTATATATCTTTAAAAACACTTAAATTTTTTTTAACCTATTTCAGATTTCAAAAACCACATTTCAAGAATTTTTGCAACAATTACAGATTTAAGATTTTACACTCACGTGCTGAGCCGGCAACGCAGCAGCGATATGCGGCATCCCATTGTCTATGGCCCTCATGACCTCCTTACTGTGAGCACCGTACGCGTTGATCAACTTCAGCAGAATCAGATCGAAATAGTCCAGCCATTGCGAGCGTGTCTCTGGTCTCCGACATAACCAGATGAGGACCTTCACTGCTTCAGCGGCTGTTCGCTCATGGGCGTTTGCCCATCCTGATAGATAATTTTAAGCTTTATATTTTATAAGACATTTATAAAATCTCTTTTATAAATGGCGTAATTAAAAGCATTGCTATGTTTGCTCATGGGCGTTTTAACTTGCTAGAGATAGTTGGGCTAAAAAAATATCAATAAAAATTCCAAAATCCTTCTCAAAAACTACTAAACAGCTTTTAATGATTTTGCCTTTTATTTGAAATATAATTGATCACCAAATTCATGATTTAAAAAATATACCTCACCATTAAAGTCGGTTAATATATTATTTACCTGACTGCAAATTCGACGCAATATCCGTATTCTCTTTGTCTGCAACATTTTCCTCAACTGAAATAGTCGCCAACGACACTCTTAGGATATTCCTAGAACAATTATTTTGTTAAATTAATAATGTTATTATTAATAATTTCAAATAAAACCAGTTTGTTTCAATAATTAAAAATAATAGTTATTAACACAAATTTTAACAAATGAACGCAGTTTACCCTAAATTACGGAATGTTCTCCCTAAGACCAACTCCAAATACCCCTAAATTTCGATTAAAAGTTTTTGTTCTACAATTAAAAATACATTTCGATATTGAAATTTAGTTTGTTAATTGGGTTCGAGGCTAAATATAAACTTTATAGAATCGTACGTTTTTTAAGAAATCATTGCTTGAAAACTCTAAATAACCATCTGGACATCTTGATTTCCCCTAATTTTAGGGGAAAACCCCCAAGTTGGCAGTAATAACAAAATTAAACTTATATGAAATGTTTTCTTTGTTTTGTTTCTCATTTCTCAATCATTCAATCACAATGTGCAGGGATCAGCTAGTATAATATATATTATGTATATCTTAAATCCAAATAACTCACTTGAAATATTCGCAGGGTTTCTTACACTCGCCGTACTTGAGGATCTCGTGGGTGGCGACGAACAGCCGCTCGCAATATTCAGCCGGATCCTTCGACACGTCCACTTTGCTCAACGCCTCCAGCACCTCCGTCTCCCGGAGACCGGCTGAATGAACGATTCATGATTGAAGAATGGTTAAGTGATAATTTGGTGGTCGAATTAATTGCACTAAATCTGCTTATGTAATACCTGAACGGCCCCTAAACTGATTTGAATGCAACTCTTAATTTCCAACACCGCACACATCCTTATATACCTTTAATACTCCAAATTTTTGTTTCTATTAAAACTTTGAAATTGACAATGCTCAAGCGGAGATGGTGACTTGAGATACCTTTTGGAACACTTGAAAAATCACTATTCGACAGACCTGCCACGGTAATCTCACCCCGTCACGTGACCACTTCCATACAAATTCCTAACATTAGTGGGTCAGCTGAATTATCTACCAGGAACCAATTGTATCGGCGCCTGCGCCCTTAAAAGCCTCCAGATAAAAAAAAATACCTTTTGTTATTAAAAGACCGTTCTCGTCCATTTCGTGTGGCTTCATCTTGTCCCTCGCCATATTCGCTGAACTGTAGTCTCTGGAAATGAAACACAAATTAATATTGCAACATTTATTCACTCGGGCGCTGTCAAAATAGAAAACAGTTTGACACCCTTATTGAAAACATCTGTTCAATCAAAGTGAATGAAAAGTTTATTGAACGAGTGACCTATGAGTTAATGAGCTACATATTACTGATTTAAGAAATTACAAAAAAATAAACATTACTTTTTAGTGTCAGTATTAAATGAATGAAGTGATTACTGAACGATTGACATTTGAATGAATACTTAAATTACACAATTATTGAATGAACAAAATGTTACTTTTGACTGACATTATTAAGTGAATGATCAAATTACTGAACGATTGACCTGTCAATGAATGAATGAATGTTCGAATCAAATAAATAAAAATTCTTAATCTTATTCAAGAAATAATTACCCGTGACCATGAGTACAATCCCTATGAGGTATCGGCGACGACTCCTTCGTGCTATTCGCCTCTTCAGAACTATCCGCCGATGCGGCGCGGCCTATATCACTGGAAATATAATTATAAATATGAAATAAAATGCAAAATCACTGACTATAACTTTTAAGTATCTTTAAATTAAAAAAGTCTTATATTGGACGTGCACTCTCTAGTCCTGTAATAACTCCTGCGCATGAGCTGAGTAGAATTTTAAGCAACGCCACCTAGTGACAGCATGATAAAAATTATTTTAATTCTTCTTCTTCAGTCGCACTTTTCATTTCTGAAGGCCAGACCTTCCACCTTCCTCCACTGTCCTTTGTCTTCGGCAAGCCTCTGATAACGTAGTACCCTTACTTAGTAAGACCTGTAAGGGTACTTGATGGGTTGGATTAGGGGATCAGCTTCGAAATCTGGTGCCCACCACTCTGCCAGTCACGATGTTTTTCTAGACTTTGTGGATCTCTGCTGTTACATGTCCAAAAATTTATTGAGGGCGTCTAAGTGGTTTCGATGACTAGTTAAAACTATATACATAGTTTCATTATTTATTCACTATATATACTTTTTCCCGAAGTAGGTAGGTAAAGACCAAGATACTCCACTTACAGTCCCTACCTGGCCCCATCCACTTGTAATTCACCAGGCCTACGTCCTGACGCCTCACCACCAACGCTTTCCTTGTCTTTGATCATTCCCTCGTCCCTTGCCCCCTTTAATACTATTTCCTCACCCGGTATAATGTCCGTTGGGGACATTCGGTCCTCTCGCTGACGACGTGGCATCCGACATTTGGCTGATTCCAGAGTCCTTGCTGGACATAATATGATTGCCGCAATCCGCTGTTAACATAAAAAGAAATTAGTTTAGCTGCTTGGGGAGCAAGTATTACGAAATGAATTTGGGAGGGGGGTGAAAGAGGGCAGAAAGGGGAGGGGTCAGATTTTTTGATACAATTTACAAACTCTAATGTCATCATTATTTAGATTAATATTATAAACTACTGAACCGATTTCTATGAAATTTAGGCTTTTCTACTTAACAACTTAACCTCCTTTTTTAATCCGTAAAATCCTTGAACAGTTAACCAATTGGACTAAGGGTTCTTTAAAGAGCATACGATATCTTAAAAGGCCGGCAACTTAATCGCTAGCCCTCTGGCATTGAGTTTCCATGGGAGGTGGTACACCTAACATGATACTTCAAGAAAACAGTACCAAATCTTAAAAGACCGACAACGCACTCGCGAGCTTTCTGGCAATGTGTCCATATCACTTAACATCACATGACCCTTGTGCCGGTTTAAAAAAACACTATCGGTCACCCATCTAATAAACCGCGGCAAGTGGAGCTTAACCTGAACTCACCGTTAGAATGCTGCGCGGTGTATGTGTGTATCTCGGAAGTTGTCTTCCTAATCCTCGAATACACGTCCTCTGCGTTGGCCGGATTGGAAGCCGTGCTCGATGTACGCATTGGGCTATCGCTACCCGCTGAATTAAAAAAAATGGTGACTTTATATTTTTTTCATTGGGACACTAAATTTTTTGTTCCTAACGCTCCCGTTCAAGTACAGAAATGTATAGAATAGATGGTGAAAAAGAGCTGGGAGGGATCAGATGGGCAGGGAAGAGGGGGATGAGCCTACAGAAAGCCTTTACTGCGCGTCCAAAGAGTGTAAAGGGCGTTCAAAAATTGGGTTCCATAATACTTGAACGCAACACAAAAAAATAATCAAAATCGGTCAATCCGTTTAGGGATAAAAATGATTTTTGTTTTGGTACTAAACATACATATATATATATGTATATAAATCTGCGCGTGTGTAATTAAACTCCTTTTAACATACATTGAAGGTTTTTTTTTAATTTATGATTTGGGTACAACTTAGGATATACATATATATATTAATTATGTTACTTACTGCTGGAAGTCCTCCTCACGTGTTGTTGTAACACCCCATTCACCATTGCTTGCGTATCAGCCGTCAATTCGCTCATGAGCGCTGTAAACTGTATTTAAAATTTTCTTTTTTAGGGTACCCTCAATTATGGAAAGCTTTTGGATTTCATTGGAATTTAATATGTCTAGTTACATAAGGTAAAACATAGATGGCGCTTATGTAAGTTTTGTATATTACAGTATTCTTTGCAATTATTTTACTATTTCTATCCATATTAAAAAAACTGTTCTTTAGGTAGATTTCTGTTATTAATATTTTCTTGAGATATTGATTTCTTTTTTAACAATGAAATACTTACAGGCACTGGATTACAGTCGTACAGGGCTGCGAGGGCTCGTCTCGCCATGGTACGAACATCTGCAGACCTGGAATCGTTCGCCAAGTTCGCTACCTTGGTTAAAGCCCGACCTGCCACACTTGTGCTGCCACCTGTCACAATAAAAACAGTTTTAGTTTTCATATATTGTTGAAAAAACACTAAAATTAAAAAGAAATATGCGTGCGTACAAAGTACACATATCAGAAGTAAAACCTCTTTGGCAAACTAATTTTTAAGTCTTGTTCATATTTATGCAAACCTAAAACTTTAGATTCCTAGTTGAGAGAGAGTAAAAAGGCCCTTCTCACTCTCTCTCAATCGGTCTTAATAGCTCTCTCTCTCTTTTCTTCGACAAAATAGCTGCACATCTTCGTGACATTCCGTAAAAATTTTACCTTTATGCGCCTAAAGAAGTTTTACTTCAAAAAACAAAAAAAATAGTGTCTAACCTTGTAATGCAACAGCCAAGCTATTAGGCGTACAATAGTCATGCGCTAAATCCGTCAAAAACTTTAGAGCCGCCGCCTTTGACTTCGCCGTTGGAGCTGTAGCGCTATCTGCTAGGAACCTGTCAATTAATTAAATTATTAATGGGTATCCGTTCAAAATGGGTATCGCCCATTTATTGACTGCAAAGGTATCTTACGATATTTATAGAAAATTAATTTCTTTATTAATCAGAGCAGAGTAAGACCTCTATATGGTACAGGACCATATCATAAGAGATGAGATGATAGACGTATTATACCCGATTGATAGACGTTTTATACCCGGATGATAGACGTATTATACCCAGATGATAGACGTATTATACCCGGATGGCACGTTTATAAAAACCGGTACACAATTCGATACGATGTTGACACCCAAATGTGTATTGTGGAGGTGGTAAGTGTTGCATTACGTTCATAGCACGTTTATGGAATGAGACGGTGTGGGAAATACCTGAATATATTATACAATTGAAGCTCAGCTGGATAACACTCGTGTATGACATCCAAAGTCTTCATGATTTTGCTTTGGACTGATCCCAATATGTCCGTACCGAGCTTTGTTAGTAATCTGAAAAAAAAATTTATAATCAATAAAATAGTAACACCCAATATAAACATACAAAATGACATTTGATACATTCATAGTCCATATAAATGATATTAAATCAAAGTCTAAAAAGACTTTCCAACAAATATAATAAATAGTTTTTTGATTTCATATATCGATATCGCTTAACATCAGATGAGCCTTTTGTCTATTCGCCCCGTTATATAAAATTAAAAAGCCAGCAACGCACTCGCGAGCCCTCTGGCATTGAGTGTCCATCGGTATCAGTTAACATCAGATAGATAAAAAAGTACTTCGTGATATTGTAAATCTTTCTTTTTTTAAAATCAAATCAATATTTAACAGATAGATGACATTCGAAATGTTCATTTATGGAAATTATTTCCAAGTTTTATTATTTTATTTATTTATACTACTTTCGAATAACACCTACTTTAACATGAGCTGATAAAGCCAGTCTTTCAAATGCTGGGCGTGGACCAGCAATAGTTCACAGACAGCGTCCAACAGAAGCGAGAATACTTTTGTGTGTGCATCCACGAACATCTTGTTCAGAAGTTCTGTCAATTTTTTTAACTGCTCCTCGGTGAGGAGCATCCCGCTGTTCAAATATTTAGCCTGAAAATATTAAAAATAGTTGAAAGGTCCTGAGTCATCGGGGTGCTTTAAATAATAGAGGATTTTAGTTTTGCTCTATATTAACCACTAGCGTACAACAGAATATAAGCAAAATAATTAAATGTTAATTGCTATGTAACGAATGAATGCAATGTTACAGTCAAAGAGAATGCCTGCGTCTGGCTATCCTCTCGGGGCGTAACTCCGACGATTTAGGAAATCACCACGCTTATAAAACTATGAAAGCCTGAGTCAACAAAATGTACAGCCTTGGCTCGTACAATAGTGTTTTATAGTCATCCCAAGTCCAGTCCTACAGAATGTCCCCACTAGGACCACCTCTAATACCCCTAAATATCATTTAAAAACCCCTAACGTTTTTGTCTCGATGATTATAACTATAAGATATTTGGTGTAGTTGGGTTAGAGGCTGAATGTAAATTGTACATAATGATGGGATTTAATAAAAGTTATAATTTCTTGAATAAAACACCCCCTGGGCATCTCGATCACCCCTTACTTTGAAGGAAAACCTCCAACTGTGGGAGCAAGATAAGAATATTTGGGGTTATTTTTTTTTGGAATTGCATCTCGCTGTTGGCCTTAAGGGCCTTTACAGCTCAGCCCAGGCTGTTTTGGCGAGCATAGCTCTACCAGGCTTTGGGGCAGGCCAGAAGCTCACTAGAGTCAGCGATGTCCTAGTAAAGAAATTGATTTGGGGAGAACCAATTATTTCTTGGTGTCGTTTATGATGCACGCTCCCTTGAGAGGGGTGTGTATAACCCGTTCGGGGCGTATGCCCCCTACGTGTGGCGTTTGTTGTTCGCGCCCTGCTGATACAGGACGGTACGGGGGCGGGCCTATAGCCTTGGGGCTCTACTTATGTGTGTATGCATTCGTGTGCCTGTGTATGCGTGTACATAAAATACATACGAGATGTGTGAGTCCGTCCTTGCGTTCTGTCCAGTGCGTACACGCACACAGTGCGATAATGTTATCGGGCGTCGGGGGTGGAGGGGGCGAAGAATCCCATCCCAGGCGTGGGGAAGACCAGGTCAGGCTCTGAAAAATTATTTTCTATATGCATATATAAACCAAAAGGACATTCCTACGTCCAAAAATTTAGACATATTTTTGCGTCTTCACTTCTTTAGTATAAATTTTTCTGCAGATATTTATGTATCCGTGCTTTATTATAATGTAAAATAATAATAGAAAATAGGTGTAATATAATTTCCAAATGCAAAACAGACATTTCTGTGTCCGTTTTTTATAATTACGTAAAATAATAATAAAAAATAAGTGTAATTATATTTTCCAAATGCAAAACAGACATTTCTGTGTCCGTTTTTTATAATTACGTAAAATAATAATAAAAAATAGGTGTAATATAATTTCCAAATGCAAAACAGACATTTCTGTGTCCGTTTTTTATAATTACGTAAAATAATAATAAAAAATAAGTGTAATTATATTTTCCAATGCAAAACAGACATTTATGTGTCCTTTCTTTATAACAACGTAAAATAATAATAAAAATAGTTGTAATATATTTGCCAAATGCATAACAGACATTTCTGTGTCCGTTCCTTATAATATAAACGTAAAATAATAAAAAATAAGGTGTTATATATTAGCCAAACGCAATAGCAGACATTCTTGAGTCCGGTTATAATTATAACGTATATAAATAACAAAAAATAAATGTATTATATTTGCTAAATGCAAAACAGACATTTCTGTGTTCGTTCTTTATAATCAAGAAAAATAATAATAAAAAATATGTGTAATATATTTGCCAAATGCATAACAGACATTTCTGTGTCCGTCCATAATTATAACGTAAATTATTAACAAAAAGTAAATGTAATATATTTGCCAAATGCAAAAAGACATTTCTGTGTCCGTTCCCTATAATAACGTAAAATAATAATAAAAAATAAGTGTAATATATTTGCCAAATGCAAAACAGACATTTCTGTGTCCGTTCTCTATAATAACGTAAAATAATAATAAAAAATAGGTGTAATATATTTGCCAAATGCAAGGCAGACATTTCTGTGTCCGTTCCTTGTAATATAAACGAAAATAAAAAAAATAAGGTGTAATATATTGGCCAAACGCAAAAGCAGACATTTTTGAGTCAGTTTATAATAACGTAAAATAATGATAAAAAATAACTGTAATATATTTGCCAAATGCAAAACAGATATTTCTGTGTCCGTTCTTTATAATAACGTAAAATAATGATAAAAAATAAGTGTAATATATTTTCCAAATACAAAACAGACATTTCTGTGTCCGTTCTCTATAATAACGTAAAATAATAATAAAAAATAGGTGTAATATATTTGCCAAATGCAAGGCAGACATTTCTGTGTCCGTTCTCTATAATAACGTAAAATAATAATAAAAAATAGGTGTAATATATTTGCCAAATGCAAGGCAGACATTTCTGTGTCCGTTCCTTGTAATATAAACGAAAATAAAAAAATAAGGTGTAATATATTGGCCAAACGCAAAAGCAGACATTTTTGAGTCAGTTTGTAATAACGTAAAATAATGATAAAAAATAACTGTAATATATTTGCCAAATGCAAAACAGATATTTCTGTGTCAGTTCTTTATAATAACGTAAAATAATGATAAAAAATAACTGTAATATAAATTCCAAATGCAAAACAGACATTTCTGTGTTCGTTCTTCATAATAAAGAAAAATAGGTGTAATATATTTGCCAAATGCATAACAGACATTTCTGTGTCCGTCCATAATTATAACGTAAATGATTAACAAAAAGTAAGTGTAATATATTTGACAAACGCAAAAGCAGACATTTGAGTGTCCATTATTTAAAATAACGTAAAATATAAAAAAATAAGTGTAATATATTTGCCAATTGCAAAACAGACATTTCTGTGTCCGTTCTCTATAATAATGTAAAATAATAATAAAAATAGGTGTAATATATTTGCCAAATGCATAACAAACATTTCTGTGTCCGTTAATTTGCCAAACGCAAAAGCAGACATGTCCGCGTCCTTTAATTTGCCAAAAGCAAAAGCAGACATTTGTGTGACCGTTCCTTTTAATAACGTAAAAAAAATGGGTGTAATATATTTTCCAAACACAAAAGCAGACATTTCTGTGTCCGTTAATTGGCCAAATGCCAACATTTCTGTGTCTGCTCATTATTATAACAGAAAATAATAATAAAAAATAGGTGTAATACATTTGCCATATGCAAAACAGACATTTCTGTGTCCGTTCTTTATAATAACGTTTCACTGTATTCTGTGTGGACATATTGTGTGTCCGATTGATACTCACATCATGTCTCCTATAGGAGTCCAAACTCCGTTCCGAACACACACTTGACGCTTCAGAATCGTCATCTCTTCTGTCGCACCCGGAAATGTCTTCGGGGCTCTGAAAAATAATAGTTTATGATTTTGTGGGTTATAACCCCCCATAGAGGCCTACGTGTCACAGGACACGCTGACTACCTAAAACGGGTCAAGTGACGTATTAGATTAAGTTTTATTTATGTATTAGAATTAAGTGTTTTTTTTTTATGTAACTTAAATATTTGTAATTACATTGTACTGGGTATCAGCAATAAAGCCTAATGAATGAAACCCCCCATCGTATTGTATGAGGATTTACCAAATTTAAGGTTTATATAGCAGCAGTATTGAGATCGTGCGTTGGAACCGCCAACAATGTTTTAACTATCTTAGAGCAGATATAACAACAAATTTAAGTTTTATATATAATACAGTGGTGACTCTGAGGTCGGGCGTTCTAAGGCTTGTATGACACTCACTCTCAAAGCAGCCTCCGCGTCCCTTGACTGCTGCAGCAGTCGAAGGGTGGTCGTGGGAGGTCTTTGGGACCTCTCTACTGACTGTTTTCGGACCACACCCACCACGCTGTTGGATCTGCCCGTTCTGCGACAGAATTTAAATATACTTTAACAATGACGATGTTGCCATATTTTTACCATATATATGTGATAATGTTGCCCCGATAATACGATATATTGCCCCGAATTAATGATTAAACAGATAATATAACTGAAAAATAAAGCTTTTTTGAATGGATTAAAAGAGATTTTAGTTACATAATGCGTTTTAAAAACAATTATTAATTGTTTGTTGTTAACCAATTATTAGAGGCAAAAAGTTGCCATGTTTACACCATATATTGTCACGAATTATTACTCAAACCTAATAAAATAAATTTGAAAAATACAGCTATTACAATAAACGTTGTCACTTACAAATTTGATATTACAATTAAAGTCAAAATGTTGCCATAGCAGGAATAACTATGGCAACATTGTTACGAATTATTATTGAAGGTATAACTAAATAAATTAAAAAATGGACCTTGCCAAATTAAAGGAACTGATGAAAAAAAATACTAAATGTGTAATAACGTAAATTTATTTCGATAAACCGACGTTTCGAATATAATAAAACAGGTACATGACATAGATGTATATGTATCCCAGGCTCACTGAATTTCAGTTTACATTGAATAGGCTCCAAAACTACTGAACTGATTTGAAAAATTCTTTCTCCATTATTCGACTACTACTCCTACTAAATTAAAAAAGATTCCTTCAGGCTGCGGATACTATTGACAATAGAGCAATGTACTACAGTTTTATAGAAGACTACAATATCTACAAAAATGTTTTGCATTTAAAATTCTGAAGAAAGCTTTAGCAACAATCGTGCTATCGAATTAATGCGAGAGAAACCGCACAGCACATCTAGTAATAATAAAAAAAATGAGATTTCAAGTTAAGTTTAAGAATATATGTTGCCATAACAATACTTTATGTTGCCGTAACAAAACCTTATATTTCCGCAAATTTCTCTAAAGTAAAACAATGAATCAGCAAAACGCTTACCTTGTGGGACTCGTCTCCCTCGAACCAGCCAAAGACCGTGGTATACCAGATGGTCGCCTCCTTGTGTTCAGTGAGACTGGCCCACTTCTGGAAGACGGTGAGGAAGACCTCGACGTTGCTAGAAAAATGAAATTGCTGAAGCTATATTGATGGAACTATAAATATAGATTTAGGTCTGGGCCGCAAATTACAGTATCTTAATAGGCAAGTAGGACTATTAGGCAACTGTGCCTAACCACCTACTAGCCAGTATTACGATGTTTTCCTTCATACGAGCGAGTGTTATAGAAAATACCATTGGTGCACAGCCAGGGATCAAAACTCAGAAGAGTCCAAGAAACCGCCCATGGACATTGCCAGAGGGCTCGCAATTGCCGGCCTTATTCTCTCTGAAGCCTAAGTCGATTTGGTTCGGAAATACTGCAATGGCAGAGAATGGGAAATTCTATCATTTCCACCTAGACGCCTGGTCTTGAACAACGCAGCGCTTCAGGCACCTTGCCGCGCACCACCTTCTTGTGGAACCAGCTGCCAGTAGAGATATTTCCGAACGGATACGACTTAGATGCCTTCAAAGAGTGTACCCTTTAAGGTCGGACATCAGTTATCATTCGAAGTGACCCGCCTGCTTGACTCCTGTTCCAGAAATGTGCTGGTGCCACTTAGTGGTGCAAAAAGTGCCTTAAACAACGCTGAATTGTGGAAGGGACGTAAAAAATACTGGCGTATAGTATTTATACGCCAGTCACGTGACAAATACGACGTCAGATAATGGTCAGTGACGTGCTTGTAAATAAGCGGTCTTACTAATAAAAAATCACTATACATGCGTTATAACAAGGTGATAGTTATTCTGTGAATAGAGCTTGTACAGGGCATAAACATCTCTTTGACCAATAATCGATGTGTATTGGTTGAATAACAAAACGACCCTTATTTATTGTTACCCTGGCAACCCGCCGTGTTTGATTGACGTTTGATTTAATAATTCTGATACAACTCATAATTCTAATGTAAGTTGTATTTATTTTACCAACCAAAACAATTATATACACATTTACTTAATATACTAATAACATTTTATTATTTGCAGCTAATAGAAAGTCCAAAACCTCAGACAAAGAGGACTAGAATTTTACGTAAAAAGCCGCGTTCTGCAGTACAAAAGTTGGGAGAGGTTAGTATCAATGTGATAAAGAAAAGGACTATTTCATTCAAAGCCCTCAACGATCATACTTAAATTTTTAGGCATCTCAAATAGTGGAAAGTGCCAAACTCCGCAACACGGCAGTGTTCCAGTGTTTGCAGGAAGAGCACGAAGCAAAACTAAGGCAGATGACGGAAACACATGAGCTCAAACAGAAGCAACTTGCCGAAGCTCACGAATGGGCTAGACAGGAACATCTTCTGAGGCTCAAATTATTACAGCAGAAATTAAATTAAAAATATAACTTATATACTTATAAAAAAATAAAACCCATGTTTTTAATGAAATATAACTTTTTATTTCTTTCACGTCCTTAACTATCCACACCTATGTAAATAAAACAGCCTCAAAAATATGTTTCAATAAAAGCAGCTTGTCCAGCCTGATTGCTTGGGGGCGTCCGGGTTGGCCTTGGTTCTTCTGGAGCATTCTCAGTGTCATCATACGTAACATCCAGGTCTTCTTTCATAGCAATATTGTGGAGGATTGCCAGTGCTACTATATAATATAATTTTGCATTTTCTAATGACACTGAGAAGCCATGAAGAAGACACCTAAATCGAAAACCCTCCTCCTCTATTACTCTTTTTGACATCAGCTCGCACTATGTCACAGATCTTCATAACATACTTCTTTTAAAAGCGGTATTTTGTTTTGAAATCGCCATCCGAAAGTAATAACGGATTGCACCGAGTTTGGTATGTTTTGACTTTCCTTGGAGGCGTCAAATCTTCAATCGTATGTATTAGCTGCATATCAATATTATCTAAATCTTCCATTTGATCTATAAAATCCATTTTCAACAAACACAAATACCTACTAACTTAAATCTTTCCTTGAACTAAACAGTCAAAAAATGCTGTCAAACGCGAAATCAGATCAAATGACGCAATTTTTGTCTTATACACCCGTTAAACTAGGCCTCTGCGTTGTATAAGCATTGTACAAGTCTTCATACAAACCAGACACTTGTTATAACAGCAGTATACATCAAACTTGTCAATTCAGGAATTATTAGTAACATTTTTCTTATAACAGGCTTATACGATGTGCATAAATCTTTATTAGTAAGACCGATAGTGTTTAATCCTAATACTGAGAGTTCAATTTCGGCAATAATTATAAAACATAAATACTTGACGTTTGTTACAAGCATGTTACGTCAGATGCGACGCCATCTTGTTTTTTTAATGAATTCATAATCTCAACATTTTCTATATACTCACGTTGTGACTGAGAGACCCCAGGCCTGGAACGAGATCGGACAGTCCTCTCGGGGCTCGGGGCCACTGTACCACTCACTGGAGAGCGTTTGGCGCGAGCTGCAATTGCAAGAGTGCGGTTTATAAGATTACTTTGTAACGTCATAGCTAAATATGGTGACGTCATAGTGGATTTTTAGCGAATGCAAAATTTAGACGCCATGTTGTGACGTCACCTGTCAAATATAGTTTCAGAAAATCACGGAAATGGCTACAATCATAACTACATCACCGTGTGAAGACTTAGAACGCGACATTGGCGGAATTGTGATTTACACAGAAGTCGCCATTATAAATAAAGTGAAGTGAAGTGAATCATTACTACATATAATTAGAAAATAATTGCATGTTCGTATGTTTGTAATGAATAATCTTAAAAACTACTGTAAACAATTCTAATATACCTTGTTGTGCTATTTCTCCTTCTTCAGATAGGCAAGGAAAACAATAAGGAAATTAAATTAATACATTAACAAAGTTAAGCAACCTCCGTCGCGATTATGAATTGGATGGGTGCCCATACATTGTATACTAATTTATAAAAATATATCAAGGTTAAGCCGCTCTCGGCGAGGTTAACAATTGGTTGGGTGCAGGTACAGGTGTTCTACATTAATTCCCTTTTAATATCAAGAAGAATAGTTAAGTTACACTCGGCGCGGTTAGTAAACGGATGGGTAATACTTACGCAGGCTAGCAGTCCCGGCGGCGACTTTATTCCTCGCGAGATGCGAATACATCGCCCTCGCTTTGGCCCGTTGAGCAGCCGCTGCGTCTACTGCGCTTACCGACCTCGCTGCTACGCCGGCTAAAAACGATAGTAGTTTAAAAAAAATTATCATTAAGCTTAACATTCAATTACATCCAAAATAATGGCTTTAAATAACAAATAAAGTAAAAATCTAATTATCTTCCCCACATGAGAATCGAACCTGGGATCTCATTATCTTTAGTATTTCTAGCAACAAGACCAATGATTTTATTATAATTATTAATCGACTATAATATTTAATTTTCGATAATTAACAATTAAACACGGCACGTGTTTATTTATCTATATAAATTATTACTCATAATTACACGTATATACTATATGTATATATATATATATATATATATATATATATAATTAGTAATTAAATACTATTTGAAGCACAAAGCAATAAGTCACGTTGATACGGTTCATTCACCTTACATGAATGACCGCATCTCGGGGCAATGACCATTCACATACAGGGTGTAAAATATAAATGAATGAAAATACATTTAAATGATTTAGCACTCAAAACATCATACGTATAATCACTTATGAACATTATTAAAAAAGACTTAAGACACAAAATATGTGGAAGAAGAGAATTAAGTGTTTTTCACGTAAAACTATTTCTTCCAGGGCAATAAAATACAGATCTTAAAACATATATCAAAAGATAACACGCGGAGTGCGGATGCTGTTGATGAGGACCCAGTGATGCGAAAATGCCCCCCCTAAGCCCAATTTCAAACACCCCTAAATATCGATTAAAACCATCTAAAGTTTTTGCTGTCCACGCAGTTTGTGAGGCACTGTTGGCCTAGTGGTATCAGCGTGTCTCTCATCCCTGAGGTCGTAGAACCCCGATTTTGCACCAATGGACTTCGCTCATACGAAGGAAAACATCGTGAGGAATCGTGCCTTTGACCCAACACGACGGCGTGTGTCACAGGAGGCCGATCACCCACTTGCCTTAAGACAAATGGCCATGAAACAGATACCCTTCTAAGCCCAGACCTAGTTGGTTAGGATCTAGGCTTAATATAATTTTCTAAAATATCCCAAGACACCATGATTGCCCATAAATTGCGGAGAAAACGCTCACTCCACTGACCTACTGCGCACGAGATTATACAAAAATGGCGAAATCCTTAAGTGTTTCGAACCAATCATATGACAGCAGTTTTCGGAAGATTTTTGCTTGGTTGCATTCTAATCGGTACCCAAAGTGGGTCGATTTTGGATGAACAAACTTCAATTTAGACATGGGTGGCAACCTTTTTGGTTTGGGCCACAAAAATGGCGAAATCCTTAAGTGTTTACTTCGTCTCCGAATCATAGCAATCGCAGGCGCAATGGACTACGTGAGCCAATCATATGACAGCAGTTTTCGGTTTGCTTTGGATGGATTCTAACCGTGACCCAAAGTCACAAAGAACTTCTATTAAGGTCACGTGTGTAATTTAACAGCGGAATTAAAAGTATCCCATATAATTATTTTTATTTATCCAGGAATACGACAATTTAAGACAAATTAAACCATGGCTGATAAACACCTCTAGCAGACACTGGTATATGAGACACTGGAGGGCGCTCCTGCGAGGCGCGTCTTCTCCTCAATGAATTACTTCGATAAGTTGACAAATTCTCCGTGGATGCTATCCGAGCAGCGTGAAAACAATTTTGATTTTGAATTAAATGTACTTTAATATTTAAATTTAATAGGCCAAGGGGAAGAGGACGCTATGGAAGACTGTGGAAAGGATATAGCCGTGGATGGAAAGGTTTGGAAAAGGCTGGAGGTAAAGGGGGTTCCGATTAATGGATAAAGGAAGTTGGATAATAACAAGAAAAATGTAACAAATTTAAACTGTATATTATTAACAATTGTAATTTAAATTTAATACTTATTTAAAATACGTCAAATTGAACTATAAAAACCTTATTTCAACCTTTAAAAAGTTAATAATTAGAAATTATAAAGAATTAAGAATTAGCTTTAAATATTTCATATAAAAATGAATATTTTAAAATTTATTTGCAACCTTTAAAACGTTACTAATTAAACATTTTAAGACACCAACTAGTTTTAAATATAAAAAATTAAAATTGTAAAAGGCAAAACATTTTTTTTAACTCAACCTTAAAAGATTACTAATATAATTTAAATTTAAAATGTTTTGAATAATTTTTATGTAAATAATTTCAAAATTAAAGTACATTTAATTCAAATAATTTCCAAAATAACACATTAGCTTCTAGCAAGTTATATATTAGCAAAAATTAATGAAACGCACCAGAAACACTTGCCGATGGACTCCTGGGGCTGGTTATCATTCTCCTTTCTGAAAAAGAAAATATATTAAAATCCTTAATTTAATTATTTCATATTAATTTTTTTTAATAGCTCTATTCCTGCTCTAAGCAATAATTTTCTTTTCCTTTTTAATTAATTATTATTATTACTAGCTGCCCCCGCGGACTTCGTTTCGCCTTAATATGATTTTACTTAGTAGCCTTTTAAGAATTGGTACGCTCTTTGAAGGACCCAAAGTGTAGTTGGTCCAGTAAAACCTACCGCCCATGAACACTCAACACAGAGGGTTCTCGAGTGCGTTGCCAGCCTTTGGAGAATTGGTACGCTCTTTGAAGGACCCTAAGACAAAAAAAACTCACCAGTTCCAATATGTTGCAAACTATCGACACTGCCAACCCTCTCTCGTTCGATCTGCTTTTGCGCAGCCGAATCCAACTTCAAGAACAATTGCTCGGCATCCGATGGGAAATGTTTCTTGTACGCCCAGTACGCTCTGAAAATGTATTTTCTTTAAAATCGCGTATGAATATATACGCGTATAAACCACAAATACGTGTATCATGTAACAGTACGCGTGTCATAAAGGTAGACGGGTATCATAACCGCGCATAAAGGAGTACCCACAAAGATACACCTAAGGCTGATCACGTCTCAGAAGATCTATGAAACGAATGTTTGATGTCATTGGAAGATTCCATAGAATGTTTTTTTGCCAATTTTGTCCCAACATAAATAGTTTTAACTTTTAAGCATTAGAAATAATGGTGGTGCCATTTAAAAAAATAAAATAAAAGGGTGCGTGTACTTATGTACGCGCGTAAGAAGTTATACTTCTTTGGCATTATTAAAAATAGTTTTTGATTGCATGCAAATAATTAGTTACAATTAAATAATCAAAGACTGGAAAAGGATAATATTAAATTATTTATTAGTATTGATTTAAATATTCTATTTAAATCACTTCTGATTATAATTCAGACGCACATATAAAATTCGCACTTGTATAATGAAAACAAAATGAAAACACGTGTTTTAAATGTAGAAACTCAAAGCATGTGGATAAATATTATAAATATAAATACATCGTGAACAGAGGCTGCGTGCGTGCCAACATGCGCCACTAACTTCATTCTGTTAATTTTGTGTCACGGTGCGCGCGCATCGTAAAATTTCAATCTCATTAATTTTTCATAACGCGCCTAAAGAAGTATAACTTCAAAAAATTTTCAATCACAGTTAAGAATTATATTTATCATCAGACTTTGGTTATCATACGCGTTCGTTCCGTTCATCATACGCGTACAATACGCGTAGCATACTTATAATATTTATAGTTTCACATTAGCACGTTCGTGGTACGACACGGTGTGGTACATACCTTCGTCCATGGTTCCTCGCTGTACTATCGGCATCCACACACGCCTTCTTAATTGCCTCACTGATGGCCTGATGCTGCTTCTCTATTGCCACCGGGGACCACTGGTCCAACAGAAGCACTAGGACCTCGCTGCAAAAAAAATTACAGACAAACGTACTATAGCTGAAAATATTAATGTAGTACATTTTCATTAGGGTTGTAGAATTTTGAACATCACAGGGTGTATAAAATTAATTAACATTCTAACGACAATAACTTGAAAAATACCTCGCCCAGAATTTTTTAAATATTTTTCTGGAGTCAACCACCACCTGCCCCACCCCAACGTGGGCTTGGCGACAACTTTATTCATTTAAAAATAATTTAAAACCACTGTTAATGTCCTAATCCTTGTATCTTTCTTCTTTCCTCTTTATTAGAGCTACTGGTATCTTTGTCGTTCTCCCGATTTATAAATTTTGTGCTGTCATGTTTTGCTTTGCTCTGTATCATATTTTTTATTGTATAGAGATGTGTCTGTTTTGTTTCCTAAATAAATAAACTGTTTTTTATGTAACAGGAAGCAAACAGACAAGAGGCTCACTTGATGTTGTTATACCGCCGCCCACTCTCAATGCCAAAGGGCTCGCAAGTGCGTTGACGGCCTTTTATGAATTGGTACGCTCTTTGAAGGACCCTAAGTGTAATTTTACAGCCGGCCTTACAAGAATTGGTACCCTGTATCACTCACCTTAGCGTAGACCGTATCTCCTTTGACTTATTGGTGGTGAGATTTGTCGTTATCACCGGTACGAGCCTCGGCGAATGTACATATATAACTATGTAACGCACACATATAGTGCCAGCCGAAGACACCACCTGAAATAATATACATTATTAACATCCACTATTTGTATTAGCAGAATTAAATGTAATTAACGATAACATATACAGGTTGTGATCAATTTGGGCTATTTTAGAGAATGAAAAAAAATTATGAAAATATTTAAAAAAATACACGTTAAATTGCAAATATGTACATAGAAAATTTAAAACACCTTTTGTAAACTCACATGTAATTGAAAAACAAAATTATAACTTAAAAAAATACAATAATATATTAACATACTCATACACACGCAACAGAATTTCTTAACATAGATAATAATACACAAGAATATTGTATAAACACACACAAACACACTCATACACACGCAACAGAATTTCTTAACATAGATAATAATACACAAGAATATTGTATAAACACACACAAACACACTCATACACACGAAAATTTAATTCATGACGTGTAATGATTCACAGGAATATAGTATAAACACAGACAATCATAAAAAATACATAACAAACACAAAAAAGAACTCACCTTGGCCGCATTTTGTATGAGATTGATAACCTCTTGTAATATATAAAGACAGAACTGATCCAACTTATTCTTCAACAGCTTCGCCATATGCGCTATAGTTATACACGCTTCCCTTACGACCTAAAAAAAAAGTCCAATAAAAAAAAAGGTCCAATTTAATAGCCCTTCCCTCCCCATATGTAGCTCATAAAAAACAAAGGCATGTCATTGTATCTTCTTCTTAATAGGCAATAATCAGCCGTCTGAGGCACTTGATCCCAATTCCTTAAAGGGTTTCTCACCTGACTCCTCAAATCCTTGATAACGACTAGAAACGGTACGGACAGTTCCTTCAGGTGCGCGGCGAACTCGGTCGGATACTGGACGTGCGCGTTCGCAACGAGCAACGAACGGATTTTCTTCAACTGGAACAATTTAACATAATATACATTATTTACATCTAAGACCGTGATGGTTAAACGTGGAAAGTCACAAAAAGCACCACACAACAACTCCAGGTCTTCGTGAACCGCTACCTAGGGGCCGTTCAGGTATTACGTAAGCAGATTTACTGCAATTTATCAATATTTACTAGAAGGTAGCTGGAATGACGTGGGGTGAAATCAAGAGATGCCCAGGAAAGGCTTTCCACGCTGGATACCCTCTCTGCTGCCTGGGAATGAACAAGGGACGACAATGTTAACATTCTGTAAGATTACTAACAAAGTAGAAGACTCACAAATTAGTATACACTATCACTAACGGGATAGTGTACACTAGCACACACGGATCAGTGTACACCATCATTAAATCGTAATAAAAAATTGAAGGGAATACAATAGTGTACATTAAAAACAAAATACATACCGCATCGACCCTTTTCTCCCAATCTGCCCCTCTGTCGCCCAATAAAGCAGCCGCGTGGCGGAACAAATCCTCCAAGCCCCTTGCCCCATACACAGCGGCTGGGGCGATATGCGCAAAAGCAGCTTCAAACGCTTCACACGAAACGGCACCAGCTTCGCCTGAATTGCTTGCGGCGCTCGAAACTAAAAAAAATAAAATACAATTAGTTTTCTAACCAACTTCAAAAAAAAAATTGCTAAATTTCGTGTACAAAGTTCTCTAAAACTAGTAGCAGAAAATTTAAATTAAGTTTTATTTAGAAACAGTCCAAATTTCATCAAAATAACTGCAGTAGTTATTGAGATATCCACGGATTTACGAGTACATAACGACAATATATTTTTTCAAATCACCTAATTAACTTGGCACTATCATTTTTAAATTGAATATCTACATACCCCATACCCCATAGTGGGGCAAAGAGCCTTAAACAACAAAATATCTTACCACTAGACGCACTTGTGAGTTTCACTGGTGGCTTACGACTTGTTGGTAAATTGTATAAGCCGCCCACTGTTCGCTTCACTTCACATGCTGTTATGAGCCATGATTGAAAATGATGAGCGTTGGTTGATTATGATCAGCATTTGGTTGATAGTGATGAGAATTTGTTGATTTTGAAGAGCATTGTTTGATTATGACGGTGTATTGTGACGGGCATTGGTTGATTGTGATGAATGTTGGTTTGTTAAGCGTTTGATTGAGTATGATGAGTAATTTAAATCGAATATAATGTATGTGTATTGTTTTATTAGGTGATGAGTTTAATAATGGTATGTTATTGATAAAAGATGATGTGTTTGTTACCAGATGCGATCAGATCCGTGTTACATGAAAAAGAAGAAGTGGTGTATTAGTTAAAGAATATGACAGCGCTTAATTGTCAATCAATTTGGGTGACATTTGTCAGACTTATTACAAACGAACACTATGCGTCACAATTTAACATTCTATACTTAAATTAATATATAGTAAATATAATACTAAACACTGCCACGGGGATATATTTTAAATTATTATTACTAAGTTTAAAACTGTAACTACCCTATATATGTGTAAATATAAATAAAAACTTCAAAACTGCTAGACAAAACAGATTTCTAGCTTAGCAATGAAAATATCCTCTAAAGTAAGAATCAAAATTCAAAAATATTGTCTACCCTCAAACAAATAATCATTGTCTACCCTCATTTTCACTGACCTGGTGTTGAGGCACCACTGTCCCCATCTCTACTTCTACTCGTAGGTAATGTCATTGCACGTTTCACTGTCCGTGATAGGAAGTCTGGCTCATCTGTACCCGCGTTTGCTGAAATTAAAAAAGTGAGGGTATTTAGAAAAACAAATTATACTTTTATTATTACACACTAATACACATACAGAAAAAGTCTTCTAAGCTAGAACACACAAAACATACATAAATCAAGTATGGACTTATAGGGCATTATTATCCTTGGAGCAGTGAGGTTGTAAAGCCTGGGCTTGCAGGCTTCCAGGAGACTTCTGGGCTTCTGGAAGGAATTAGGCTGGCCCAAATAAGGGTCTAAGTGTGGGAATAGAGTGCACGATATATACATACAGGGCATACGTTTACGTAACGTTTTGGGTTCTAACAGCTTTTTTTTTTGAATCAATTATAGATCCAGAAGTAGTGAGTTTAATCTTTACATTCAAAGTGTAACTTTATTATTTCATTATAAATTATTTTAGAAGATTTTTTTTTAATGTATCAAGAAGTAATCGGGCAGGAGGCGCATCTGATGTTAAGTGATACCGCCCGCCGCCCATGGACATACACATTGCCAGAAGGCTCGCGAGTGCACTGCCGGCCTTTTGTGAATTGGTACGCTCTTTGAAGGACCCTAAGTCGAATTGTTCGGAAATACATCAATTAACAAGGCAGAGTTACGACGCTCCATACCTGAGGGTAACATCAGCCCAGCCTCTCTGGCCTCGTCAAACTTCTGTTCCAGCAGTGCCAACTTCTGCGCTGGCAACAGTTCTTTCTTCTTTAAATCTTGCCTTAGTCTTTCACCTGTAATAGAACGATCATGATATGATATTGGTGATTTTGAATGTCAATTTTTTTTAATTAACAATGTTAAAAAATTGGAAGGTCTAAATTTATATTTTAAATCCCTCCTAAGTCAGCTGCGCTGCTGTACCAGTCACCAGTCACCTACATGCAAATAATCCAACGATTCCAAAACAAAGCGGTAAGGGGAATTGTCAAATTTTATCTTTTTAGTTTTAGTAATTTTCTTGTAATTTTTTAGGGATACACATTGTTTTAGAATATATAGATAAATACATAAATAAAGAAAAGGTTAATTAAGAAGCTCCTTGACACCACGAGCCCAGTGAGAATATTGAAAAAGGACAAAAATGCACATGAGTTAGTGTTAGTTCACGTTAGTTTTAAGTACTAAGTGGTAAGTGAAAAAAGAATTAATAGTGTCTTTAAAGTGACTGTCAGTAGTGTTATCAGACATTTAATGTGAAATATCCTTTTTTTTTATTATAAATAATACCTATTCTACTCCCCTGCCATAGTGTCCAGGGACTTTTTCTATCTCTAAACTTTACATCACACGTCTCCTTTATCCTTTTTGGTAAATTAGGTTTTAAATTACTTATTAATCTTGAGTTACGCTAGATCGCAATGTACAATGTCTCAGTAAAGACACATGTATGAAAAAAGAAAATCCCTCCAATTGTACATACAGAGAATAATAACAAAAATCCTTTCAAAAGCTAAAGAAGAGAACTAACCAAAAGAACCTTTTGGAACAAGAGAATTGCCTATGGTTAGATGAAATACTGGCCTCTTATAAAAAAAAAGTTACTACAACCTTTTCAGGTCTGGGCCTCAGATATCTGCATAAGTTTTATGATCATTTGCTAATCAATATATTCTTGAAGCCAAGGCTTCACAACAAGTTGTATGTACAAAAAAATATTTAAAACGACTTTAAAACAAATGGTGACTTTCAACAATATAATACTCGAAACAGAACTAATTTGAGTGTACGACCAACGAAAAAAAATAAACCACTCCTTATATGGAAATTGTATTCGTTTTTACAAAAATCTCGCAAGCGAAATTAGAGAATTATCACTGAATTAAATTGAAAACTCTTGTTAAATTTAAATTAATCAATAAAGCTTTTTATAAATTTGACGAACATTTAAATGATCCTAATCCTTGGGATTGATTTGCTCCACTTCAAACAATTTGTATGACTCAATACTTGGCGATTAAAAAAGTGGGGGAAAGTTTCTTGCCAGTTCTTCTTACCCGCTCTACGCCCTTGACTTGCGAACTGGTAGTAAATGTAAATTTACAATCAATTTAACTTTTTTTTTACGTTCATAAGTGTACTTGTTTACCTATATGAATAAAGTTATTTTGACTATGAGTTTAATCTAATAGGAGTTTAGCTGAGCCTGACACGAGCCGTCGTGTTGAGTCTAGCTCTCACGATGTTTTCCTTCGTACGAACGAATGTTAAATGCTCGTAGAAAGTACATTGGTGCACAGCCTAGTTCTACGAACTCGGGAATGAGATTTCACTTACCCACATGCCGATAAACATCGACAAGCAATTGTGCTGCGGCGTCTCTCACTGCGCTGTTGGGGTCTCCGACCAGCGCAGCCAGATTTGGTATGCACGAGCGAAGTTGGAGTTCTGTCGCTCCATGGCTGAAAATAAATTTGCAGTTCACGTAATTATCGTCCGATGTCTCTCATCGATATCATAATTTAGTTTTACTTTAGTCATTTTTTAAACAAGAGGTCGATGACCTAGAAACTAAAATAATTATTAGCACAAGAAAGGTATTGCTATCCCTACTTTTCTAACAAAAAGTCAATGACCTCGAAACAAAAGTATTTGTTTGCACAAGAATTGTCTTGCTGTCGCTATTATTATTATTACAAGAGGTGAATGACCTAGAAACTAAAACAATTATTAGCACAAGAAAGGTATTGCTCTCCCTACTTTTCTAACAAAAAGTCAAGAACCTCGGAACAAACTTGTTTTTGTGTTTTTTTAGTTTTCTTTTTAAAAAGCTTATAGAGATGATTCTTATATATAATAAAACACAAATATATTAATACAACTTACGTATCCAACAAGGCGGCTATACACTTCAGAGCTTCCTCCCGCGTATGCGCAGCCTTGTGTTGTAACGCGGGCGTCAGACGTGCGAGTAACGAGCGTGGAGCGACAGCCTTGCAATCGTCTAGGCTCGTTATACACGAACGTGCAGCCACGCGTACACCCTCCTTGGTGTCTGCCAATCTGAAATTGTAACATGTATAATGTATATATCTCTCTTGTCTGAGCGTCGCAGAAAGGAAGCATCTGGAGCAGACTATTTAGAATTGGTACGCACTTTTCTTGAAGGGCCATGTTAAGTGATACCGCCACCCATGGACACTCACATTGCCCAAACGCTTTCAAGTTGTCTTTTAAGAATTGGTACGGTCTTCTCTTCTTACCTGTCTATAATATGAGGCAATACTGTAGGCACATAAGGGGAGAACTCTTGTCCCATACGCTCAGCTATCGCAGCTATCACCTCCAATCCATTCTGGGCTACCTAAAAATTTTAAAAAAATCCGATTAATTTATAATGTTATGTAAAACATTAAATGAATGTAATTTTATCAATTTTTCAAAATCATGTTCTATCTATATACATTTTTGTCATAAAATGAATTCAAAGTGTCAAAAATTGGCTATGTTTGGATTTTTTTTCTATCGAGCGAAGTTATTTAAATCGTGTATCGATCTTTCAAAATGGATACATAAACTTCTCAACTCCAGCATATATTTTTTCCATTCGCCCTACTTCAAGAAACGATGACGAAAAATGGAAATGTATGTATTTTGGCGACCAGATAGGTCCTTAAGTAGAAATGGGCGGGCCATACCGCTCGAATGAACAATGGCAGATGGACAAAGAGGGTAACAAAGTGGAAAGGGGCACCAGGAAAACGAAAGCTCTTATGCACGGGCTGACGAGCTTAAGGAAGTTGGTGGAGAGGTCTGGGAGAAATATGCTCAAAACAGAGAGAGATGAAGCAATTGGCCTATACTCAATAAGAGGTTCTTGAAAAAAAAATTAAGGTGTTGTAAATTTTTCAAGGCTTAATTATTATAACAATACATCAGATTTGATTGCTGTCAACATTTCTAGCTTCCTCTCAAAGTGGCAAAGCCTCCATCAAGCCCTAATTGGTGTATAGCTACTAAAAAGATAAATAATGATTTTAAAGCGGGAAAAATTGGTTTTTATTTTATAAATAATTATAGTGAACCCAATGGGATAGCATAGTAATCCCATATGTTGGTATGTTACTAAAAAAGTAGGCTAAGTAAAATCATATTGAAGCGAAACGAAGTTCGCGGGGGCTTGAACTGAGGAAGGTTTTAATGGAGGGAAAAATTCCAAATTTTTCATTTTCTGCAAATAGCCTTATAATTTTCCAATGTTTTACGGGTTACGTTTGCCCTAAATATTGACAAAAATTAAATATTATATAACCAAGTAGCCTTGGACACCATGGCCTCCGTTGCCAAGAGTGCGGGTCGTTTTTCTAGCCACACCGCGCTAAACGACATCACTCTTGCCTCCGTCAATGTTCCAGCCATTTTGGAGCCAACAGGCATCGCAAGAGACGATGGCATGCGGCCGGATGGAATGTCGATGATCCCTTGGAAGATGGGACGGACTTTGGTATGGGATGCTACTTGTGTGGACACGCTAGCCCCGTTTCACCTCTCTCGGACAAGCAAAAAGCTGGGGCGTCCGCAGAGCAGGAGAAAGTATAAAATTGCTACAACTTCGATTTTGTTCCTTTTGGAGTAGAGACTCTTGGGGTGTGGGGTTCAAGTACATAGGCGCTAATTAAAGGTTTAAGTTGGCATCTGGTACTACCGGTGACCCTAAAGCTGGTGCTTTCAACGAATAAGTATCGCAATACAGCAAGGTAATGCTGCCAGCGTTAAAGGTACACTGCCACAAGGACCAAACTTTTTAAATTTGTTTAAATTTTATTAATACTATGTATGTTAAGAAAATTGTATATACTGTATATTTAATTGTTATGTTTAGGTTTTAATAAACAATATTTTTAATATTCGTACAAATTGGTGCGTGTGACACACCCCAAGTTAATCAGAGTGCGGAAAAGACCTATTGTTTCGCTGACTGTATGAGAGATTGAGTAAACAATCATTATATACGTGAGTCACGTGACCTGTTAGAAGCCACTTGGAATCTAACTCTATGATTTGGGCCCCACAAAAAAAATACTCTAACGTTGGAGCGTATTTAGAATAAATTTACGAGATACATAAATTCCTGTGTCATGATTCCTAGCTCTTCCATAAGCAACTTAAATAATAATAATTACAATTAAGATTTTTTTAAACTGATTACAACAAATTCTTCTCCTAATTTTTAACAGCATACTATAATCCTGGATGCGGGAGCATGTGAGTGAATGCATCATTCAATAATATATCACAAAATTCAATGAAACGAGATAAATTATATTTTTTTGTTAAACAGCTGGAATCACTGCCATTTTTTGGACGTCCAGTAGGCTTATTCATATTAAAAAATGTTACCTTAAAATTGCCCCCATTGAGCCAAGCGACCAGCGAATCCAGCAATGGTGCTGCTATATCGTGGGTGATCTCCTCTCGTCTGACGAGCGACGTCAAACGCTCGCCCAACAACTGACGCATGCGCAGGTCCGGCTTCCCCAGCAGAGGAAGTGCGTCCTCTAGAGACGCTGGCTGGGGGTAGTGAGACATCTGAAAAGAGAGAAAAGTTTAGTTTTAAGAGCGCTAAAAAGAAAATAAAATATGGAACTTAGGGTATTAATATAGGACTTAGGTCCGTACCTATGTTTTTTTTTAATACAGCTAACACCAATTATATGAATATCACAGAAAACAATTATACCTAACATATAAGCAAATATGGAATACATATTATACAAAAAGATTCATTTACGAAAGGAATAAATAAAAAAATATTAAATACGTAATACCAATACGTGTGATGGTGCGAAAGTGAGGGTATGCATGTAGGGTGTGCTCACGATGCCGGTTTAGCGCTATGGATACTCTTAATACTCCTTTTAAGCTACTCTATATAACATTAATCTTTGATCCAGTTTAAAAACCATTTTTTCTGTAAAGTATGACATATTCGACTGCGTTAAATAGGAAACTAGAATATGTACCTTAAACCTTAGCACGAAGTATGGCAAAATCCAAGACATGACACACGGGAATCAAACTCAGCGCAATTTCTGAACCATCATATTAACAACTTATAACGTCTGGTATCTTTATAGGAACCGTAAGTGAACAATAACTTTCCGTTCCCGACAAAAAAGACCCGTTGGAGGCCCCGAGTTGTCCTTACGGATCCGGATGATCCAATCACGATAGCTAACGACAAATTAGAGTCCGCCCGCGCGGTAAATAATCGTCAAAATCAGATTAGGCTAAAAACCGCATTCACCGGGGAACTGAAGGCGTGGACCTTTACTTCGTACCTACTTCGCTCACTACATGAATGATATACACGTGTTCTAATGAGAAATTAAGAAGGCACCAGACCAGATCCATGCAACTTCCTTTGCACCACAACTAAATAGAAACTTAAATCTCATTAAGAGTGTGATATACCAAATTACAGTAAGTAAGAAGATTGTATTAAAATATATCAATATTTTAATTAATGTTAGTAATTCAATTGTGCCAGCCAATTCACTGGAGCATTAAGAGTATCAGACAAGCGAGTCGTAGGTATACCCACACACTCACTCATGCACACAGTTGTTGATAACAGTTGAAAAAACAAAAATATTTAAAAAGATGTCATTAAATTATATATTTTTAATTTTAAAGAATTAACTATTAGGTTTGTCATGGAAGAGCTGGGAACCCTGACACAGGTATTTTTTACTCAAAAGGGTTCCCAAATCTTACACATTAAAATGATTTGTGGTCAAATGTTTATTTTATACTCGCACGGTCAGCTGTGTATGTATGTGTACTCGCTCTAAGTGTTTGATTTTGTTCTATATAGTAAGATAATGAACAATATATATACCACATCAGAAATGCTAGAATAAACAAAATCTCACCTTTAGTTTCCTTTTACTGTATTCCAGAAACACCAATATCACCAGTTTCAATCCATACCACCATTTCACTCACTTACAATACACTATAATAGTGTCACACTTCACTACACTAGCGTTACTAAGATCACAGATTCATCAAGGCATAATTTGCACTGTGGATTTGCCTAGAATCAAAGGGTTACATCCGGTTATTAATAAGTCTAATTGACAACTCTTTTGTCTCTATCGAATTGTGTACAGAAAGAGACAGAAGAGTAATATAGTTAAAACTGTGCTATTGATTTAGTTTTTAAGTATGCCTCCAGCATTCCTCCGAGTCATATAAACAAAACGAGTGATTGTTCAGTCCAAATTTGTAATAACACTTCTGTCATTACTTTATGCAACATTGATATAAAATATTCCAGTAGTGCTACAACTTATAGGCCTTGGCCTCAGATTTCTGTATCTGTGACTAAGAGGCCTCATCGGCTCTTTTTCTGTGCCAAATTTGATTAAACAATAAAAGAGTTTAGTATAGTTTTATATAATAAATTATTTCTCTCCTTTTGCTTATATATATATATTTATTTTATAATAGTATAGTGAATTGATGTTATTGTAATGAAAAATCAATAAAATGAAGTGGAAATGGGCGGGGCACGGTAGAGGAACAGAAAAGTGAAGCAATAAAGTATTAATTTAGTGCCCAAGGCACAATAAACACAAAAGAGGAAGACAATTTAGAAGGTGGATAGACCAGATTAAAGAAACAGCAGGTGATACATGGCAGAGTAGCACAGTGCAGTCAGAAATGGCGAGATTTTGAGGAGGCTTTTGCCAAAAAAGGACACACAAATACTTAGAATGAATTAATTAGTAGTATATTTCAGTCATATAATCAGTATATTTAAGGTTGTTTATTATTATAATAAACAACCATAAATATAGTGCTCTACTACTGGGATTCTTCAGTAAGAGAAAATCAAAATACTCTCTTAACATGAACAGATTTTAATAAAAACCTAATAACAATAAAATATTATTATTATACATATATATCAGACAAGAAAGGAGAACCCAAGGTCAATAACAATATAATAGAAAGCTGTATAATTATTCATAACATAAATCATAATATATATATATAAATATGTATTATTATGTGACCAATTTAGGTAGAGATATACAGGATACTTGAAATTTAATAATGTACCTACAGTGGCATTTGAAGGCAGGTTAACTTTTTAAATTGAAATTAATAGTGCTCAAACTTTATATATGGATATTTGATAACTCATGAATTATATATTTTATTATTTTTGACTCAAGAGTAACAAGCTGTACATTAAAGTAATAAGCAATAGATAATATACTACATAAATACAGGTCAAACTTATAATTTCCGTTTAATGTTAATAAAAATATAAAAAAAAACACATATCTTTATGTTAGATATATAGTTTATTATGGACTGGCAAGAATTGTAATAGCAAATGTATGTTAAATGTTTACTTTACTGATGTTTTAAGATAAAAAATTAAGCCCACATACAGCATCTGGCACCTACAGCATTGAATGGACCTTGCATTGGCCTTTATTTATGCTAATCTGAGTTATACATATAATAGTACTTCTTTCTGAATAAAATGAATACTAGTTTGTTCCTGAGATTAAATTTAATTAATAAACATTAAATAATGCACATGCAATTTTTTTTATTGATTAAAATAGGCAACTTAAATTAATTGAAAAAGTTTGGGAACTGTGTCAGTGTGCTTAAAATTCTGGCAGCATTTCCTCACAGTATTGTGATACTAATTATAATATTAATATAGGTTAGTCATACAATATTTTATCAGCAGAGGACACTTATAAAAATGATATACATTGTAAAATAATATGTATACATATGCATACTCACATATAGTTTATATTTCATTAGGGTTCATTAATGTCAATGAATCAATATATGAATATATCTCCAGGATTACCTCAACGATTCCAGATTTGTCTAATTTTGTGTTGTAGTAGTAGTCTATATATATATACTACAATAAAGAAATGGACTCTTTATCCTATAATTTATGTAGGTCAGATATTCCCAATCCGGGGATAAAATTTAGGGATAGGCCAGTTGAAAGAAATCTACAACAATGTTTTGAGTTTATAAAACTATATTTATCTACTGAAAGTTGGAAAATGTAGGTTATCTTTGCTTCCCACAATTATGTTTTTGAGAAAGTTGTGTGAAAAGAATTTATTGACTAACTTCTGTTACTATAGACAAAGTAACAACAACAAAAAGTCAACCCTGGTGACATTTATAGTCTGTAAGGATACAACAAAAACATATTTTGACACAAAGACCTAGTAAGGTCGCTACCAACCTTGTAGTTTGTATCTTACAAGGCTACCTCCGAACTTGACCCTATATAAATAAACTTCATTAATGGGACATGGAGAACTCATTTCTGTGTGATTCATGAATAAATCCTCCTATACATAATCAGTATATTTAATGACTTGCAAGTTATCTTTTCACCAGTGACAAATGGTCCTATGGTTATATTCATTACTAAAGTCAGAAATGTAGTAGAAAATGCTAATTTATAGATTATTTATATAAGTTTATAATGTTTTCTCAACCTCAGGAATTAAATTTAATCAGGTATGTATGTATTGTGTTAATGAATGAATGGAGAACTTTATAAGTAGTATGCAGTACCAATTTCAAAGATTGTTATTTAACATTTGCAAAGCTAGAATACATATTTTTAGTTTTTTGAATCAGTCTTTATGTTTTTTTTTACAAGACTATATTGTTGCTGTAGAATGATAACCTTGTATGCCAAAATACAATTTATTATTTATTCTTAGACTCTTATGCCATTTAACTGGTATAGTCATGAAGTAAATACTTATTTATGTTATTTTTAAAATATAAGTCCTTTTTACCATCCAAAACTATGGACAAAAACACATAATAACAATATGTTAACAAACATTGAGGAAATGATTTTTTTTTCGTTTCCTGTAATATTTGATTCTCTGGACATACAAGGTTATCATTCTACAGCGACTTCTTTTTTGGTATAGATTAAAGGGTGGGCACCCTTTAATCTATACCAAAAAAGAGGGTCAACTTTTTGTTAGACTTTTCTAACATTCTTAATGTTTTTGAATAAAGTTAGCAAACCACCTAATTCTATTTTTTAATTACATAATTATTGTGTAGACTAGATTGTTCATTTCACTTTTGGTAGGACTTATATGTATCAAGTGACCTAGCAGTGACCACACCAACATGACCAAAAGGAGGCTTAAGTCAAGGACACTACCTACCCATACAAATTATTGATATATTTTTGCAAATCATTATAATTGAGTGTTTGAGCAGCAGAACTAACCATTCATACACATGATATAACATAGCAGGATACCTTATTTATTAAGTGGCCTGTTGTTAGAATGTCCAGCAATGTATGTACTAGATTTGCACTCATTTAAACAATTCTAATTTAGGACATCTTCAAATTGACCTAAATTACTAAATTACCAACAAATTGTAAAGGCTCAGAAGTAGAATTTAATTTATGATCCGTATTATACGTACATACATCTACATTTCCTACGGGTAATAAAAATCGATTGTTAGATCGGAAAAAGATTTTC